TCCTGTGATAACCTTTTATAAGGGCAGGAAGGTAGTTATTGTCACTTCTGATGAAAATCTGTTCTGTCTGAGCAGCAGATGTACTTTTCCCTTCTTCTGCTCTCCCCTCTCTAAAAAGATTTAAAACTTCTATTTAAATTCAAAACTGGTACAAGCCAAACCAACTAAGTCATCCACTTCACACTGAAAATGTCTCAATACCTCTTACACATTTTTCCAGCTGTTAGATTAACAAATGGTTTTGTTCCACCAAATGAAAGCAATCAAGTGGTTAATCCTTTCAAGTGCAATTAGCAGCACTGACCTCCCTGTTCTTTAAAATGAGGGTCATGGGGAGGTAAAGGCCAATTCTGGGCCTTTCCTTTCATATCAGAATACCCCTTCACTAACTATCTCGTCTGTTTCCAAAAACATCAGAGAGCAAGGGGGAAAACAGGCTTCTACTTCCATTAGCAGTAACTTAAACAGCCATAAGTTAAAGGGGGAGGAAAAGGAAGAGCATCTCTATCTATCTCTCTTCACAACAGAAGACATCTGGCCTCCTGTGGGGAGGCCCCAGATAACAAAGAACCTGTCATTACAAACCTCTGAGATGTGTTCAGAGAGCCATTTTACCTGCAGTCTGGCTCATTCATTTCCTGCCACTGAAGCCATCTGCTTTTGCTTATTGTGGGTATTATTGTTCTTTGTTTGGCCAGGAGCGTGAAGTGGTTTCACTTTAACATGCCTGTATGCTTGGTCAGAGGGAAGATTTAATCCTTTTCTCAAAATGAATAAGAAGGAGCTCAGAAAACAATTCCTTTCCTGGAAGGCAGCACAAAAGTCATCCAAACCTAGGTTGAATAAAGGGTCATGGCAGTGCATTGGGTAAAGATATACCTAGATGGAAAAGAGATGACAACTTTGAATCTACAGCAAAAACCTTCCAAAGAACTTGTAATCCTACCTGATTTAAGTCCTTTGCCACTGCTTCTGGAAATTTTTTTTCAGGTCAAGTCCATTAGGTTTTCACATGTCACATAGGCTTCTTTAGCTCCCATTGCACAGTTATGAAGTAATCCATTCTTACCTTCCTTTTACATTGAGTTTCAGTATTTACACTCAGGCTTTTGTCTTAATGCTTTGCTTTAAAAATCATGTCTTTCCTAGTAAGCAAAGATTGTATAAAACAGAAATTGGCCTGAAAATCCACCCACCTAACCCTGTCTTTGAGAGTACCAAAATAAGGGGAGGAAAAAAAATGTATTTTCCCATCTCTTACCATAATGTAGTCACTCTCAGGTACCATTAACTTCTGCGTCAAAGTATTTCAAAAAGTTGTGCATCGGCTGAATTCATCCAAATAGTTTTGCAACAAAGCTTAATGGTGACTGTAGCAATGTTAAAACAGGAAAGCTTTCCCACTAAAATGAAAATATTTTTAAAAGTATACATAAATAATACATAATACATAAAAGTATTTATGTAATATTTAAAGTATTACATAAAAGTATTACATAAAAGTATTTATGTAATAATACATAAAAGTATTTATGTGAAAAAAATACAGCATTCTTCCTGTTCACTTGTGATCACATATATGTATTCCTGCCATTTTTAGATGGCTTCTGAAGAGAAATCAGATGCTGTAGAATTTAAGTTGTGTAACATATTAAACTTTAAAAACACCTATAACAGTGTGGTTTCTTTACCACTACCTGCCAGATGAAAAAATATTTCTTAAGCGTCGCAGCAAGAGGTGGGAACTGCTTCTGTAACGCAAACCAGACTTTGTATTCTCACATCACTGAAAATGGAGATCTTTGTCTAACCTGAGCAATAGTGGTGATATCATCAGATTCAAATCAACTATGACTTTACTGTTAACTTTTCAGACCAGTGGTGTTGCAATGGAACGTTTAGAAACATAACACAGAAAAGCAGACAGAACCTGTCAGTATTCCTGAGACTGAGTTACTACTCTACCCATGATCCCATGTGCTCCACTTTCCCCACCTGTAATGTTAAGTCTCAGAATAACATCTCTGTTTATATAATATTGGTCCCATAAGACAGTTGAATCCAGCATGGAACCTAAAGGCTAAGTGTTACTTCAAAGGTTCTGATGGCAAAATATCTATTTCCAACACAGGGACAGAAGAGCTATACAGAAGTATACATATATGTATATATTCATATTTATGCATGTATCTCATTGCTAGTGATAAATATGTTGGGACAAAGGCTACAGATTTTCTCCTACGCTACTAATGTCTTAGGGAACATGAAAGATGAAGCAAAAATGAAGTATCAGAGATAGCAAGATGCAGGGATAATCTGTTACATATAGAAAACAAGTATATACTTTAATTAGATATAGTCACATACCTGAGGCATGCAGATGAATAGCCTGCCTAGGAATTCATTTGTAAAGATTGAATGGGCTTTTTTTTTTTTTTTTTTAATAGTTGCATACAAGCAGAGTGGTGGATATGCCTCCAAACAATACACTGAAAACAAGTGATATTTCATACCTTTTAACCATTCTGATTATCACTGCTAGTGAGCCCAGTGGATTTCCCTACTCTTGTCTTGTGAAGTATCACATTTTCTTTGCATCTCTAAACATTGGATTTGGGGAAAAAAGCTGATCACTGTTGCAGAAAACAGCTCCCTGCATGCAGATGATTCACATGACCTGCAAGATACATCACTGTGAAATAGACAAGCTGCATTAAACAACATAATATCTGTTTTGAATAAATGCATCATTGTGTAAAAAATGCACTCAGTAATTCATAATTATCTACAAACTCATGTAACAGTGGTAGTAGCATACTATTGGGCGCATTTGGTTTTTCTTTTGTTTTGACCCGAGAACAAACTATGGAAGTTTCTCTTAAAAAACCTTAATGGAATCTTCCAAGTAATGGAAACTGCGCAAAAATCTTATCTTGCAACTTTTCCACCATGATTCAATAAAAAGTTGTAGCTATTTGAATTACATAAAAATACTTGGAACAATGAGATTACACTAAAAGTTCAACAGAAAATTAAATAGATAAAATGGGTATACAAATCTACATTGCATGTTCATACATATCAGCATTGATGACTGCTAATAGATGGTCATTAGATCTTAGAATGAGCTAACCATTTATAACTTGTTCTCCAAATCACTAAGAAGATACAGTAGCAATGACTTTCAAGCTAGAATATAGATTTAATATATATATCACTCACTGAATGAAAGGTATTGATCTTATAATTATGAAATTATGAAGCCCCAGTACCAATATAACAGTGCCTCAAACATCAAGCACTTGACTTAGACTAATACCAGGCATGAACATGAACACCTTTGATGCAGGCCTCTTTTCTCCTCATGTGTCTTCTGTCCACCTCTTGACTTTTCCTTGAACATGTATATTCCCAAATTCAGTTAATTCATGCCTCTGAGTGTATCATTCTCTGGTAAAAAGACTAGTTAGTTATGATGAATACAGCAAGAACACTAATCAGTTGCTCCCCCAAACAAATGCAAGCATATTTAGTTTGTGAAATTAGTACTAATTAGCAGTTATTATGGTTTTCAAAATTGTTAAATTATAAAGGAACACTTCCTACAAATTGAAAGGTCTTTGAGATGTGTTGTCTTTGTGCATTCACAACTGTAAATATAGAGTATGGCTTAAATCAGAACCTTTTTGCTCTGCTGCTATTGGAAAGCATATACATATATTTCTTTTGTGTCTTGCAAAATATATGAACTCAAAAAGACTTTGCACACCAATACCTCTCAAAGAACCCCCAACTTCAGATAGGTAATCTTCCTTTCTTCAAGTGATTCCTGCAAACCGGGCATGACATTCATGCAGACTGGGTATTATGACTGTTAGCATGCTGACAGAGTGACTGGGATTTTACTTCAGTTCTAACTCAGCTGAACCCACATGAAACCCAACAACTGAGAGGCCAGTATCATCCATTCATGATAAGGCACAGCTGTTCAGCTCGTGGACATGGCATGCCATAACGTGGAAGACAAAACATCTTGCGTACATTTCAAACAGTTCAGGGTTCTGGCACTACACATACATCAGTCTGTTGCAGGGACTGGAGCCATTGTGCCCTGAATCTGCTGGGAGGGAGTCTGGGCATTGCAAAAACGTTTATCACTGTAGCTTTGGACAGGGGTTAAAAGGGTATTTCCTTGCAGGCAAAAAGTTAAATACATACATCCAGGCATAACAGGGCATGCCAAAAGAGGCCAAAAGGATATACAGGTCATGACAAATTAATTCAAGAATAAAAATGCAATGAAAGAAATTAAGCATTGAATTACACAGAAATTCTGAGTCACCTGCACAGAGGAATGCAATGGGTCACAATCCACCATTTGCTTATCAGAGAAGAGGACAAAGGAGCAAGAGCACACCCACTCTGATGTTAAGGAAAATGCATTTGTCTCATGATCATGTTCATGGCAGCCCACAGTGAATCTGCAAATGCATGGCCCTCTATGAAAAATTGATGTGATGGATGGTGATGTTTGCATTGCTGCCTTTTGACTACTGAATGAATAATAAAATAATCAAACCAGTGTTACACTGTGTCGTGGTTCTGCAGTGTCCTCCTACAACACATAACTTGGATGACAGATTAATTTTCTCCCGGTGTTAAAATCTCCTTGAGGCATGCACTTGATATCCCCATCTTTCTGCATTACCCACCAGGTATACCCTGGTCCTTGGGCAAAGACAATCCCACGAGTGGGTTCACCATGGTCCTTACCACAGGCCGCAGGGGACTTCTGCTCCGGCGCCTGGAGCACCTCTCCCCCTCCTTCTTCACTGACCTTGGCGCCTGCAAGGCTGTTCCTCACTCCTCTCACTCTCCCAGCTGCTGTGTGGCGCAGCGTTTTTTTCCCTGTCTTAAATATGCTCTCACAGAGGCACAAAACAACATTGCTTATTGGCTCAGCTCTGGAAAACAGTGGGGCCCTTACCAAACATGGGGCAGCTTCTAGATCCTTCTCACAGAAACCACCCCTATGGCCCCCTGCTACCCAAACCTTGCCACGTAAACCCACTACACACTGTTTCTCTGATGCTTTTGTTTTGACTAACAATATTTTACTAGTTTACAAATTCCTGGTTTTATGCTAGTATTTACAATATTTTAATTTTGTTACAAACAGCATGAAAAACTATTACTATGATTGTATATTTCATAATATACTTTCTGTCCTATAAACTGAGATAAGACTTGGCCTTTACTCTGCAAGAATGCATTTTTGTCTACATGATCTAGATATCACACAACTTCAATAAAACAAGTTGTCTGCAAGGTAAATGACATAGACTCTTCATTTTGTGCTACATTTCATTTTGTTTAAAAAACAAACAAACAACATTTTATGTCTCAATATAATCTTCAGTGTATTATCACATTGATTGGATATAACTTCTGATCAAATTTCTGTCTATACCTGTTAATGTCTAAAAGTCTTGGTTTCAAACATACTTTAGGACTCCTGAGTCCACAATGAGTTAAAGAAGCTGAGTTCCATAATTTTTCTCAATTAAAAATTGAATTGCATAAAACATTCCTAGGATGTACACCATTTTAGGCGTCTCATATAATCAATGAGTTTTGTTTTTTAAACGAAGCTTGAATTGTATCCTTCCAGCCTAAAGATCAGCCTTAGTACAATTTCTGAAACTCTGTATTTGCTTTGGAGTTAGATGCTAATGAATTGTGCAGAATCAGGCTCTTTGTCAGTTTAAATATATATATGTGTGTGTGTGTGTGTGTGTGTGTGTATATACAGCATCTTTTCTGAAAAAGGATACTACTGTGGCTTCCAGAAAATAAGTTTGCTCAAGTTAAAACCACATACTTCATCTCAAATGTTGTTGCTAATGCTAACTAAAAATACTGTATTTCAAAAACATCAGAAAAGTTTTATTTCTTTTAAAAATTTTCAGAGATTTAGTTTCATGACTGAATTGCTTGCCAAATGCATCATGAATTCCAGCTGACCTGAAACTGTATTTTAGAGTGATCAGTGTGCAATTGAAACATTCTATCTAGCTTTCTCTGTTCACAGGTTTTCCTTGGGAAAAAGCAATACTGCAGTCTTTTTATTATTATTATTTACAGCAGACAAGGAAGTAACTTGATACAGCTTCAATTTTCAGAAAACTCATGTAAAGCACCTCAATCTACTTCTTGAAGCAGTTGGATTGTGATATTTCCTCTTTTAACCTCACACAAGTCTAAGTATGTTTAGAGTTGTTAGCTTCAATTTGCATACCTATGTCAGTTAAGAGTACAAAAATGCTTGCATTCTTTTCCATCAAAATTGCATTGGCAAAGAACATAGCATAGAAATCTTTGCATTGCCCAAATCTTTCCCTTTTCCTTTAACATGGCTTACTTTATCTGGGGAACTGGTTTAAACTTAATGACTGGAGCAGCTGCCAGGGTATTTGACAGTAAAACTATTCTGCCAAACTCTTAAATGCACGATAATTTCTAATATGGACACAGCCTAACAGTGATTTTGCTCATTTTGAAAGGAGAACCCACTGAAAAAAATATGAGGGGTAAGAAACAGGACAATCTTGAGCTCTCTTGAAGTCCATGAAATTATAACACTGTAGACTCAAGGAAGCAAGCCAATATGCAATACTGTAGCTGTTCATCGTATGAATGGTCCTGTGGAAGTGGCCAAGATCCTAGGATGCTGTGATGTTCTTCCTTCTCTATGTAGGCAATGGACATTTTCAGTTAAACTTGCATTTACATATATTCATCTTCCATATGAGGCATCAATTCAGAAAAGACATTTCTTGTTCATCTTTCTACATGTTGGCACTTGCCTTGTGAGAAGAAACATCCCGTAACTAATAATGTATGAGTTCTGTCACTGTTTTCTAGTACCTTTTTTTGCTTTCCAGAGTTCCAGCACTGGCATTCCAGCAATAATAGAATTGGGATCTTCCTGTGCTGCTGAGTTCACTGGGTCACTTGCACTAACACTCAGAGCCAAATCTGTATCTGAGACAAAAAAAGGAAGTATATTACAAAATGTATTATTTATGAAAGAAAAGCCACTGCTTCAAGTTATCAAGACAACACCAAAGCACATTAATCAAGCATACAATAAATGATGACAGTTTGTTGTTTCATCTAAATGAAACAATTAGGTCCATCTGTTGGTGTTCAAATCTAGAATTGAATCTTGGCAGTTACATGTGCTAATGAAAACTATTAAAAAAATTGTGCATTCTCTGTGTAAGATATGAAAATAAACACTAAAGATTTAAGAGGCAGTCTTACACAAGGCACATTTGAGGCTAAATAGAGTGCATATGTGGAATTTGAGGATGACGTCCATGATGTTATAACATGTAGCTTATTTCAACACTACTCACTTACATTTCAAATCTACAATCCCTATTTTGTTTAGTTCCTCAGTTCAATTGCTCTGCATATGAGAAGTACTCCATTCACACACAATCAATTGTATGTCCAGGAATTAACATTTTCAGTAATCAAAGAGGATTCCACAGCTTGGGTTAAGATGGTAGAACACAGCTCTAAACCTTGCTAGTAATTCCTAAAACCTCAAGCCACAGTGCTCATGAACGGTTGGTGTATTTCTAGTGTAACTCTACTAATGAAAAAAGTCTTAGTTTGGAGCTGTAGTACCAACAGTATCAACTAGATCACCATTATCCTCATACTCATCAAATCCATCAAACTGTTAGTGGGTTTGTGAAATGTGACTTTTGCAAAAGCAGCAGTGATTCTCTGCCAAGCATGTTTATCCATGTTCCTGCCAATTCCACTTTTTTTTTTTTTCTTCAGTTTGCACGGTGAAAACCAGTTTTCACAGTTAAAGTTGATCTTGATGGTCTGTAGTTCTGTTCATTCTCCTGGAGTCATTATTAAATCAGCATCACATTCTAGTTTCCTTTCCTCCAAACCTTCTTAACCAATAGACCATACCCTCAACAACAGTTCAGCAGTTTAATGTTTGAGTTCCCTTAGTATGTCTGTGTGAATACTGTCTGGTCCTAGTATCTTGTTGCTTATTCAAGTAACAAATTTGCTCTAACAGCTTATACATTCTGACATATCAATTCAAGATCATTGTTCAACCATCCATGCATAAACAAAAGTTCCGGGAAACAGCTGTCAGAAATTACCTCACAGCAATGGGAAGAGAACAAAAAAAATAAATAAAAATACTTACTATATCCATCAACAAAAAAATGGATGAAATAATGGATGGCATTTGGGTTGCTGGAATGATGCTCTGCGTTCATTAAACAACTGCAGTTCCTTTTCCAGTAAAATCAGTAGCATAATTCTCAGCAACTACTGCAACATCAAGAGTGTACACACCCTTCTGTGGTATTTCAGAACGTTATATGAATACAATAAATTTGTTACCAATACAGTATATTTTATGAAAAATTATGTTTTATGCATACCAAGCAAAACGCAGTAGGTATTATCTATGCAAAACATTTGATTCTTTTTATTTTGGTTTTTAATTCTTTAATAATTACTCAATAACTCATTTATTAAAACTACACTTAATTAATCAAATCTAGGCAAACTGCAAAGTAACAAATCTTAAGTGAGAAGAAAATACAAGTTTTATTACTTAATACAGCTTGACTACAAGACAGGCTGATAATGTGTTAAGCCTTAACTGGAAAACCATATCTTGTCCATTTCTGAAACATCCCAAGGTACAGCAGTTTCTGCCCTGGCATATAGCCTGCTACAGTGTGAATACCAAACCAGGAAAACAAGAAAAGGGAAAAAGAGCTGTGAGCTGAAAAAAATAATAATAATAAAAAAAATCTGCAAGCGTAGAAGCAGTCTTGTTTCTGTGTACCAGATGCAAAGAGAAAACCAAAGAAACACTACTAGAAATACTACTTAAACAGCCTGTGACAGATATTCTTATAAGGAGAGAGAGAAAGGATTGAAATAATTGAAAAATTTTCTTTACATTATCCTCTATCTTTTAAATACTACTTGAGAATGTACTTGACAGAATTGTTCAACACAGAAGGCTCTATGCAGATCACTCACTGAGACCATCCATCATATGTACTGCACATATACAGAATACAAAAAGGATTTAGATCTAAAGGCAAATAGAACTTATATTTACAGCAAAGTAAGGATTGTTCTGAAATAACTAAGTTGTGGTTCAATCAGTATCAAAGGAGCCACTTTCTCTCTTGTTGAACACAGAGGGAACATAAAGAAAGTAACGTCCCAATTTACTCATATTTTTAAGAAAATGTCCATATTGTTACCAAATCGATAAAAACAGGGAAAAAAACAAACAAACAAACAAAACAAAACAAAAAAACCTCTAAATTCTTATTGATCTTTTGGCTTTTTTTTTTTTTCTTCTTCCATATTTTATGAAAATATATTTTCTGTGAGCAGTTTATTTAAATAAGATAACATTGTGACATTGTGACTCAACTCCCTAGCTGGTGTAATTTGCCCTCATTCTGTTGAGGTAAGATTCTGTTGTCTGTTGATCAAAGCAGCCGTGGCAGTTTCTGCTAGTTTAAGGGCAGAATTTTTATTACAATAACATTGATATTTTTCCCTTGTTCATTAAGCATTTTTATTTTGCCAGGAGTAGTATGCTTTACCTTGGCTGACAAAGACCAATCTAAATTGTCAAAAACCTCATGGTTACATAAAAGCAGCCACTCATTTCTCCTGAAACACCAAATCGCTTTTCACATTTCTCTAACCTACCAACTTTGGAAAACAACAAAATTCAGATACCAGTGGCATACAAGAGAGAACTCAATTACAAAGAAGCATTTTAATCTAAACCCTAAAATTTATATTGCATCCTTGGCAGGTTTTGTTTAGTTTCCTTTGTTTATTTTTGTTATGTTTTAAGTGAACTGAAAAAGTTATAGGTACTGGCTTGAATCAATTTCTCTGCAGAAACTCATTTCATTCATTATCTCTGCATATCACAGAATCACAGAATTGAAGGGGTTGAAAGGGACCTTGATAGATCATTGTGTCCAATCCCCCTGCCAAAGCAGGTTCCTTAGAGCAGGCTGCCCAGGTAGGCATCCAGATGGGCCTTGAATATCTCCAGAGAAGGAGACTCCACAACCTCCCTGGGCAGCCTGTCCCAGTGCTCCATCACCCTCACCAGTGAAGAAGTTCTTTCGCATATTGGTACGGAACTTCCTGTGCTCTGTCTTGTGGCCATTACCCGTTGTCATGGCTACCTGTGGCTTCCAGGAACCCAGCAAACAGAGAGGGCAAGGATGTTCTGGCCACACCATTTTTATGCCTTCTTCAAGAGTCCTCCAAGTGACTGAGAGGCATGAGCCAAAGGAATTTAGTGTACTGGTACATAGAGAACAGCCTCCAGTTGCTGCTGCATAGGTCTGTTTTGATCAAAGAGGGGAAATAAAGGCAGTCTAATACAGATTTGTTTGGTTTCCCTGGTGTTTCTAAGAGATTCTAAAATGCAGACAAATATAACGTCAAGCTTGCAGCATCAAATACAACTCTACAAGCAGATTAGCCTCATTACAGCCATGAAACTACACCTATTTCAGACATCTTGATAAAAAGTATATGCATCATCTTGTCTTTCCAGACTGAGTTTAGAGGGTGGATAATGAGTCAGAAAAACTAAAACTGTCAGCTGGAAAGATTTGACATGGAAATCTCCAGGCGAGCAAGACATCATAGTGCTGTTTTACTATAGCTAACTCATAAACCTTTTATCAGCCATCCCCTCTGCTTTTCCTTGGAGCAAAAGCACATAGGTTGAATCCCATCTTCTAACCTTGGCCCAATGGAGCAGAACAGCTCTACAACAGATAAAACAGTGAAGAATTTTTACACGATGAAAACACAGCCAGCACAAGGTGATGCAAAAATCTGGAAAGGCACTGTTGAAATTGCCAGATTACCTGTTGTTAGTGTCCTCTGGAGCCTCTGGTTTAAAAGTCAGCAGCCTCAGAGGAAGGGGGAAGGCCAAGAAGCAGCAAAGACAGATTTTTGTCTTTCTTCCTGATGTTATAGGTCACGTCGATCCCCAGAGAATTGGTCTTCCTTATTTATGTAGCATGGAATATATTTGGAAAGATGTGCCATCCTATAAACTCACGATTTATGCAGGAAAAAAAAAAAGAAATCCAAAACAGACAACTGACTGAAAATTAAAACCACAAATCATTAGCAACCTGAACATTGATTATTTTAAATTTTTTTTCACTGTTTGTCACTGCAACATTCTATTTGGAATTCATTATTTTAATGCATGTAAAATCTCTGACCTTTTAAAATATATATATATATATAAGATATATATAAATATATCTTAAGGGGAAGAGTATATAAATATCTTGACTAATAATAACTTTCTAGATCTTGAGTGTTTTCTGTGGGATTTTAATGTGACTATGCAAAACCAGCAGCACTTAACAGTTATGTTCTACAGCAGCCTGCTTTGCTGAGGGAGGCACTTCAGCAGTTCTCTTCCTTTTCTCTGTATCATCTCCTCTCCTTTCAGAGGCCCCTCATTATGATGACCCATCCATTTGGCTAAGGGCTGCATGCAGCTGCATCTGAAAGAAGCCAACAGTATTCTTGGGTTATCTGGGGAAGTCTGCTCAATTACAACGGTAGGTATAAACCATGCTTCTACCTCCTGTAACTTAAGGGAGAAAAGACCTAGGCCTCAACTCAGGTTCCAGCTGAGGTACAAAACATATTCACTGGCTACACAGCAAATGCAGAGAAGCTTCATTGTAATGAAAAATGAATGATTTCAACTCACTGGCTCTGCTATCCTGCAGATATGAGATATGTGAAAACTGAATGTTTCCTTATCTCTGTAAATATTTTCAGTTTATAGTTATCCTACAGATATCAAACTCTCCTAGAATATCATGACAGAAACTTTTTGTTGTTGTTATTGTTGCAAAATGAAAATGAACGTTGGCCAAGATTTGTCATTCTTTAAGAAATCTCTCAGACTGAATAGCTGATTACCCCCAAAAAAACTTGGCAGTGTTGAGTGACCCATTTGTAGGAAGAGACATTTTTAATTTTAGGAGAATTAGCATAAAGAGGGAGACTCAATGAAGTAACTTCACCTCATACTTCTTTGCAATAAACAGTACTATTCCAAGGGTAAAAATGTATTTAAGGTCTGTGCCTAAGTTGTCTGCCTTTCCACTGTCCTCAGCTCTATGTTAGAGGACTTCATTATTTTTTCAGATGAGGAGAAAGATTCACAAAAAGTGTACACATCTGAAGTTAGGAACTTGTTTATTAGGGTCTAATCATAATGAACAAGTCTAACTTCTATTGTAGCAGAAATATACAAGACTAAATCCATAAAGTTTCAGGATATGACAGATGGTGTAGACCTCATGAAATTATGATTAGCGTTGTCTGTGTCTAGGGCCTTGGTATGATATTTTTCCCCTATGCTACAGCATTACAAAAAGGTGGGGACTGTAATGCTGCCAAGATATACACTGTATTATCAAATGGGATACTTCTAGTGAGCCAAGGCTTCTTATTATAATGAGAAGATAACCTGTGGTTGCAACTCAGTGCATCACAAAGCTTTCAATAATGTCACATACCTCCAGGACACTATTAAATAGGCTTAGTGTAAAATGCCAACTCATTACCATTCTCTACAGGAAGTCACAAAAATGCACTTTTTGAATACATCTGAACACAAGGTTTTATTGCAAACATAGGAAAGAAAAAGCACAGCTTTGTATTTTATTATCAATCATTTTGTTATAACCCCCATTCTTAGCTTATATTTTAAATTTCTCTAATGTAAATTTTCAAGTCTTGCATGTTTGTACAAGTTCAAGCACAATACTGCTACTTCATTAGAATAATTTAATACTCCACACTGGTATGCAACAGACACAAAAGCAAAATCACTGTCCTAAGACATTTAAAAAGGATAAAGTTAGTGTCAAAAGTAGGTTTGTCAAGGGGAAGCTGGGCAAATAGTGTGGGCTCAGGTAGTTTGCATGTAAATGACTTGGCATGCTTAGGCTTTCAAAACACAACAAGGGTTTCAAAACAAAACAAGGTAATGGAAAACACGGTCAGAAAGCCCAGGACACTCTAACTTTTCTTGAGGAAGCACAGTATATACATAGGAACAGAGACAATTTGGTGTGAAGCTTACTAATAAAGTGTAGTGAGCTGTAATTATTAGCAAAACTCAGAGGGGAATGACTGCTAACATCAAATGAGACAGGTGACATATAAGGAGAGGAAGAGCTATTTCATAATATCAATATTTGGATAATAAGCATGAATTTAATTGTGAATTAGATTGATGCAAACAAATTAGAAAGTATAATAGTTTGACATAATTAAAGTGACAGTGAAGAGTGAAATACACAGAATGTTATGCACGGCTTGATGTAGCCTGAAAAGCCTGCTATTGAATAACTGAATAACAAGTATCTGAACTCTCATCTGGGCTAATGAAGAAAAAATTCAACTCCTTTATCATTCCAATAGCTTGGTCTAATCCAATTTCAGTTCGAGTTCTAACGATTTCCATAGGTTTACCTTCTGCAGTAGATGCTGTGCCATATCCACCCCTAATGACATCTGGCAAAGATATGCCCTAAATGTGAATGTACTAAATGAGCATATTGGTCAGAACAACAGTTCTGATTCCTTTAAAAGAAAACCAAAATAAATAGTTCATTTGCTGTAAATACCCATGTAGTTTGTTTGGGAAGGCAGACTGCATTACTCCTCAGTTCATTAAGGTTTACTTTAACAAGCTGTGAAGCTGATACAGCAATAGTTCAATAGTTCAATGTTGCATTGCCTTTTTTTTTTTTTTGGAAAGCTTCAGCATCCTTCTTGGCACAAAAATCATACATTTTGAAGACATTTTCAGAAATGCCTTTGAGAAAACCTTGTTTTTCAGCCATTTAATTTTTTTTCTTCTCCTCCCAGAAGTACCTTAATATTTTTTCCCTAGCAAAACAAAGATGTTCTTTGTTCAAATAACAACATCTCCCTTCTTGCTTGTTATGAAACAGCACATTTCCCCAAAAGTGTTTGCTGGGTGAGATCCTTAAGTGAAGACTATTCACCTTTTGTTTAAAAAAAAAAAAAAAAAAAAAAAAAAAAAAGCTTACATTAGTGGTTTTACAAATAAATTACATTGCTGTTATTTCTTTTTCTAATTATTTTTAAAGTTCAAGTGCCAGATTTAGTGTACTAGAAACTGTTCACATGCAGAACGGTTACAGCTCATGCAATACTGTGTAAGTTCTCTTATACCCCAGAATGACTGCTATGATCTGACAGAATCAACTCTCTCAAGAGCAGTGTTTTAATCTCCATGCCTACATGTGAGTGCCAGTCAATGCCCACTCCACCATGCCTGTTACCAGCAGGAACTGTGTGCAGGTTTACACTGTACGAGAAAGCAGCATGTGGAAATGTTGAGCTGTGGCTAAAGGAATTATTAAAAAAAAAAAAAAAAGCAGGGTAAAAATGGTTGAGTGCTGCCCTATACTGTTTGCAGTCCTTGAGAAGGCTGGATATCTTTACACAGCTCCATACCATCTCTGAGTGTGGTTTGTGGAATCCTGCAGGGCCTTGCAGCCTTGTTACAGAATTTCTATAGGGCTAGATAAACATTCTGCAGAATGCTTTGTTGATTCCTCATAATTTATTCCAATTTTTTTCAGCTAATGTGCAAGACTGAATTATGGCTAGCAATCAGCAGATGCTGGATGTGCATGCAAAAACTTTACATTACTTTTATTTGCAAGTGAAAAAGTTCAAGAATTGTTCTTTTGAAACTATTACCATAACTGAGTAGAATGTTGAAACACCAAGACTGCACATTAATCCATACAACATAAAAGTTATTGTACCAGTTCGCTGTCAGCAAACCAGCATCTTCAATTAGTGGTGCCCAGGCAGAAGTGATGCTGAGTTCAGCAAACTTGGAAGCAAGCTTGGCTGCTCTAACACTGTACGGAGTTTAGTACTAGAATATTTTTTAATGCTGATGCACTGAAAATTAAGATAAGCTACAGATAGAGAATAAAAATACCAAGGATATTGCTCTCCATGAAAATGAATATATATTAAGATATATAGAAGGAAAACATATATTGAAGGTACATGTCAAAAATGTAGAATTTTTTTTCAAGGAGTTCTCCAAAATGGAAATGCTCTATCTCCTGACATACTTCACAATTCATAGAATCACAGAAAGATTTAGGTTGGAAGGGACCTCTGGAGGTCATCTGGTCCAACTCCCCCAACTCAAGTAGGGACACCTAGAGCAGGTTGCCCAAGGACCATGTTCTGACAGTTTTTTTTAAGATCTCCAAGCAGGAAGATCTCTTTAGGCAACCTATTCCACTACTCTGTCACCTACACAGTAAAGAAGTGATTCCTGATATTTAGACAGAGCCTCTTGTGTTTCAGTTGGTGCCCACTGCCTCTTGTCCTGGCACTAGGTACCACTGAAAAGAGCCTGGGTTCCTCCTATTTGAACCTTATGATATAAATTATGACAAAACAAAAGCAGTTGGATATATGATTACTCTGTGGTAGCAAATAGAACACAGTGATTCAAAACACAAAACATCAGTAGCTGTATATTATAATAAAGTGGAAATAACTGATACATAAGGACATAAAAGACCTCTTACTGCAATGTCTCTAGCCACTGGTTGTTCACATCAGAATTTTAGGATTAAGGCTCTATGGAATTTACATGAGATTTAAGCTCTAGAAAATCCAACAAAAGAAATCCTTGAGACCAACATCAACATCTCTCCTAATCAATGCTAAAGCCAAAATCACCAAAATTCTCTTCTTTGTTTTCCAGTGCTACCAAATTCATTAGATTAGGTTGTATAGGTCTACTTCCCTTTCCATCTCAAAGGAACTAAGAGAATCAGGCAGCTGCCACCTCCTTAAACTGCCTTTTGAGGGGTGGGTAGGCCTCTCAGGAACTTGGTCCTAAATTTCATATGACAGACTGACGAGTACCTAATGGTTTTTCATAATCCACTAAACAAGCAGCGAAAGTTGCACTCCAATATAGGGCCCAGATTTTGAGAACATCAGCTGAAGGCTGAATGTCAAGGTGTGGATATTCACTCATGTGTTCAGCAATATATGTAGGACCCGCTGCCAAACCAACCAGACTGTGAAATGCAGCTACAAACCGAGGAAAGTCAGAGATTTCAATTTGTTTCGCAATGGTAAGACCGGCAAAATGAGATGATTTAGATCCAAGATAAAACGTTACATTGTGTTTCATACTCAAAGCATAAACAGACTGTTGAGCAAGAAAGGACTGTTTACTTTTTAATGTTGTTTTCCTTTTCCTACAATGAAATAGAAATATAATAGTTATAGGAAACTTTAACCTAATTAAGTCTTTTCCAAAAATGCATTGCTAGAACATTTTAGGATGACAGCTTATAAGAAAGTGAGCCAGAACAGCACTTCTGAAGTGACAGTTTCTTATGTAGGGCAGAGAGTTGCGTGGATGCACCCATCGGAGTTTCCAAACACATTTTGCCTACAGGGAATCAAGACATGCAAAATGCCTCTGGAAGCATTAGAAGACTGCCACAATGTAATAATAAACTGGCAAAGTATTGCCTTTCCCTCTTCCCTCAACCTTTGAGGATTTCTATTGGCCTCCGCAGTATCAGATACAAAATCCTCCTTAGAGAATCAACATTAAAATTGAAATCTTCTTCCCCTGTAAATTCAAATTCAGATTAACTGAGTCACTTGATGGCTACAGATACCTGTTCAAGCACTTCTGGCTGAGGGTTTCAGTGCTCCTACTACTGCTCATGCCTGACTCTCCAGCAATCCCAATCACAACCAAGGTATTTTCCAAATCCAGATCAGAGATATTCTGGCTAGACAACTCTGCCAGCACACCTGCACAACACACACCTGAGCCAAAATGCATCATCTGAAAAAACAATGAAAAAGTGAACATGTAGCACAGCTGTGCTTCAAGCTTTATTCTTTGTAAAGGAATATAAAGGCACTGAAAGACTTTAATAATCTCCTGAAAGACTGAGAACTAATAGTTAATATTTCATCTTTAAATAAAAGACAGATTTCTTCTTTTGTTTATTCATGCAAGTGAATATCATTTTCTGCTTTTAAGACTAGCACAAATTGCTTCCTTTCACATTTTCTGGTTTCTATATTTCTTTATGACACCGATCCACCAAGCAACCATGAAACTAATTAGAATCCCAGCAACTCAGCTCCAGGACCCATTGACACGTATTTGAGTAAGTTTTCAATTATCATAAACAGTGACATATTGTTTTCTAATATTAGTCTACAATGCCTGAATTATTGCCTTAGTCTTTATTGTTTTCAGGCTTAGTTCTTAATATTCTGTCCCAAGAGAAAAATACTTATCACATTAGTTCAAGCTAAAAGTTTTGATACCTTTGGTAGATTTGCCCTTCAGCCAACCTAAAACTGTTTCAGCCGGAACATTCTTTATGGGTAGAAAAAGGTACATTTTAATCAAGCTAAATATAAAGTTCTGTTTTTCTCATATTTTGAATTTTAAAATGTTTCGTTATAAAAAATATCCTGAAAGTTCTATGTGATCAGATTTAGTGTTCTGCCTTCTGATATTTAAGAAGGAAGAGTTTTCAAACAATAAATTCTTTTAACCCACATCACTGAATATCTTGAAAGTATGATTTCAAAATAATACAATCTAAAAAAACTATGATGCTGAAATCATAAAACAAACAGGTTTGCCCATTCAACAATTCTTTAGAACATTCATAAAGGCCAAAGACCATGTACATGTATTGGCTTATATCTTCAAGAAATATGTATGGGCTTTTCAGAAGTCTGAGTCCAAAGACTTAGGTTTGATGAAAGGCAAGCTGTCATGTAAGGACATTAGTGACACTAAGATGAAGCAAATTTATAGATACTATATCCTGAGAAGATCTGGTGTTAAACAGAACAGCTGAATGACTGGCTTTTATTATGGCCAGTGGAAGAGAAGTGACATAATGAAGCAAAAAGCAACATAACAAGCTTCCCAGAACATACCTCATATGTATTCAAATACTTATCTGTACAACTAGAAAAAAATACTAGCTTCAGTGACCTTGTCTTTAAGGAGGAACAATGCAGCATATAACTTTGACCCAGTATTTATCTAATTGTTAATCCAGTCCTCACAATTAATCAGGTAAAAGTTTAAGTGTAAGAATTTGAGAGGCCCTGTATTTGTGTGTAGAAGATAAACTGAAAATATTTGCTACTGTTTTCAGTTCACTCTGAGCGCTCTGTCTTTGAGGCATTTATTGCATGTAAGATTTAATTGATCAGGTGTATTACTGCACAGAGGGAAATGTTTTACTTAGCTCTTTTAATCAAATTATGAGCTATTCTAGTTTGTTAATATCATTGCAAAGAAAGGGGTTTCAATAGAAAACTGTGAAACAAACATTTAGAATACAAGCTGTCATTATGTATATCAACTGCTATCTGAACTTCTGATAAGTTCCAGGACATTCATCAGATTTTTTTTTAGTTATGATTTTATATTTTTAAAAAATGTAAAGAATTAATGAAATCTGACCCCTAATTTCTTTCAGACTTGGTATTGAACAGTTTTCTAGAATGTAGGAAGCCTCAAGGGCAGGTAAGAGACCCAGTTAAGTTCTGATTACCATCAGATTGTTTTCTTCACAAAATACTTCCTTTCTGTGTCTTTAGCAAAGACAATTGCTGATAAAACTCTACCTCTAAAAAGAAATAGCTCAGTTTTAGTAAGTTCTGAACACACGTATCTAGAGATAGATTGAAAAATAACAAGTAAAAGTAGAGATGGTATCTCTCCTGATGTACTTATACTAGATACAGCTTGGTACTTCTGCAAATGAATTAGGTTCTTTGATGAATTGGTTGTCACTTTGACTGAATGTCATGGATCTGGAAATGCGAAGTTGTTTTCTCTTGAATTAAACATAGCACAGCCACAAAGGACTATGCTCAAATAAGGACAGTAGAAGACAAAAAACCTATAAAATTATCTCCCCGGCCCTAGGGATAAGAGATTCCATGATCTAATAAAGAGGGATGGCAAATATTTGCCCATAAAAGCAAAGAGTATTCCTGGAAGGCCTGATTCTGTACATACCCCTCATTCTTCACTGCTTATAGCGTTAATGTTTCAGCCAGAATCAGGCCCTTTGCTTACTGGTGTGAATTATTTTGCTAGCCAAGACCACCCTGCTAGCTATGGAATTACTTAACTATTGAACAAAAGAAAACATTGACTAACCTGCTTAATATTATGTCCAATAGTGTAGAGAGGTACCATGCCTGTTACAAACACTGCTTCAGGGAGAAGGCAGAGATAATTACATTCTGGAGGATGTGTTCATATGTAACATATGCAACATTCTCGGTGTAATTAAGAAACTACCTGTTGGCATATATAAATTTTACATGTAAGAATGAGCAAGTAAAAATTATTGAGTATTTCTTATTTGTACATCCCTTTTAGTTAAAATTGGTATGACTGTCTAATTTTGTGTTCTGCAACTTATTCCAGGTTGCAAATTCAGTTATCATATTGTGTCAAACTTTATCTTCTTTCAGTAAAATTCTTGATTTTGGCAAATATTTGTACTCACTTTAAATATCTTTCTTATTCACTTTCAAAGTCAGGCCTTCCTGATCCATTGTATTTATTTCCTAATCTTGTAGCACGGCTATGGTACTGCATATGGTATGTTTGGTTAATTTTTTCATGTTTTACTTAGAAGGGACTTTGTGTTGACTGTTTATGCCTTTTTTTTTTTTTAATATTAAATATATCAATTTCTACTTTTTTTCTTCAAAGCTACAGAACTTCATTTTAGATGATGCCATCTGTTTTCTCTAGTCTTGAGTTTTAAAAATTATTTATTCTTATTTTGTTAAACATATCTCTGGTCATCTTATTACTCACAGAAATATCTAGATTTGCTACAGATACAATGGGTATAGACATAAGGCTGATATCTATATTGGCTTTCCTATATTTAAAAGCAATGATCATTATACAATTCTTTGGTTGCCAGTAAATTTTCTGTGTATGAACATGCATCATGAATCTAAGTAAAGATGAAAGCATCATTGCTTAGTACCTGGAAAAGAAGTTTTGAGGTACAACTCCTAATCTCATTTGCAATTCACTTTGGGTAAATCATTAACCTCTTTCTGTTCAAAATTCCTAAAAAAATTTCTGAAAAATCTATCATAATGAAGCACAAAAGGGAAGAAAGAAGCAGACAGTACATCTACCAGAAACTGCACTTGTGACTGATATGAGAGGCAAATGGAGGGCAGGTGTGATTCTCTGGGTAGCATGATAACCACTATTTCAAGCAAGAACAAATCTGGTCATCATTTCAGTAAAAGGAGGATGTGGAGAAAAGTGTCAGTCCTAAAATACCTACCAACCTTATAAACACTCAAAAGAATAAAAAGTATTTTTCTTCATAAATGATAAAATAAAAGCAGGCACAGAATCCAAGCTCTTCTCCCACTGAAGCTGTGTTACCCATTTCCCACTGTCTCCCATTACATCCTACTAGCAAAGCTGAGAAAGTGTGGGATAGAGGAGTGGATGTCAAGGTGGGTTGAGAACTGGCTGACTGGCCAAGCTCAGAGGGTGGTGATCGGAGGAGCAGAGTCTGGCTGGAGGCCTGTGACTAGCCGTGTTCCCCAGGGGTCAGTGCTGGGTCCGGTCTTGTTCAACATCTTCATCAATGACCTAGATGAGGGAATAGTGTCTGCCCTCAGCAAGCAGGCCAATGACACAAAGCCGGGAGGAGTGGCTGACACGCCAGAAGGCTGTGCTGCCATTCAGGGAGACCTGGACAGGCTGCAGAGATGGGCAGGAAGAAACCAAATGAGGTTTAATAAGAGCAAGTGTAGAGTCCTGCACCTGGGAAGGAACAACCACATGTATCAGTACAGGCTGGGAGACGACCTGCTGGAGAGGAGCTCTGAGGAGAAGGACCTGGGGGTCCTGGTGGACGACAGGTTGACCATGAGCCAGCAGTGTGCGCTGGTGGCCAAGAGGGCCAATGGGATCCCTGGCGTGCATTAAAAGGAGTGTGGCCAGCTAGGTCAAGGGAGGTGATCCTCCCCCTCTACTCTGCCCTGGTCAGGCCTCACCTGGAGTACTGTATCCAGTTCTGGGCTCCCCAGTACAAGAAAGACAGGGATCTCCTGGAAAGAGTCCAGTGGAGGGCCACAAAGATGATATGGGGCCTGGAGCATCTTCCCTATGAGGAAAGGCTGAGAACAGACCTGGGTCTGTTCAAGCCTGGAGAAGAGAAGACTGAGAGGGGATCTCATCAGTGTATATAAATATCTGAGGGGTGGGGGACAGAAGGATGTAGCCAACCTCTTCTCAGTGGTTTGTGGGGATGGAACAAGAGGCAATGGCTGCAAGTTAGAGCACAGGAAGTTCCGCACTGACATGCGAAAGAACTTCTTCACGGGTGAGAGTGACAGAGCATTGGAACAGGCTGCCTAGGGAGGTTGTGGAGTCTCCTTCTCTGGAGATATTCTGTCTGGACGCCTACCTGGGCAGCCTGCTCTGAGGAACCTGCTTTGGCAGGGGGGTTGGACCCGATGATCTTTCGAGGTCCCTTCCAACCCCTACAGTTCTGTGATTCTGTTTCCTGCCCATGCTTTTACATGCCTAACTTCTATACCCTGCTTTTGCCAGAAAACTAGTTTTGGAATAACAGAATCTTTGTCAACCTGGGTATGAAGTGGAGACTGCAGAGTCCTACAAATGCATATGGGGCTGCCAAACAACATCTCTTCAGTTGGGCAAATATGGAGAAATTGTTCTGTTCGTTTAAATAAAAAGGGAAGAAGAAGAAATATGTCAAATTCCCCAGTGACTTCTCACAACCTTTATTGCTTTAGTAGGAATACAGACTACACTGTATCATCTGAACATTATTAAAAGATGCAGACCACACAAATAGTTCAACAATACTTCCTTGGGAGAAAATATTATTGCTCCCAGTACTAGTCCATTTGACCATATGTGTTGGGAGTTTAAGGAAATGTTTTTCCCTCTTTAGGAAAAGACGAGATCATTTCATTAATCCAAAATAATACAATATTTTACTTGGAGACACATTTTGTCATCACTTGCACAATGTTTTGTTAAAATATACCCAAGTATACTCTAAGCAAATGAATGTACCAATATGAATTTCTCTTACCAAGACAAAACCCAATGTAGTAATAATACAAGAGTCTGTCTATCTCACAGGGGATTAATTTTTGGTTAGGTTATCATTTTAGGAAGTTGTAATCAAAACTTTAAAACTTGTACAAAATTTGTCTGATATTAATAAAAGAAAATAGATCTTGAAACTCAGGCATGAAAAAGATGATACTTTGGATGACACATTCCAAGTCAGTGATGTCAGAAGGAGGCAGTAAGAAAGATCTTTTAGATACAGCGCAAAATTTGGCTATAGAATGATTCACTAACTGAAATGGACTTCTTTCACTCTTTTATTCCTTTAAGACCAAGCTCCTGTACCAAATGGGAAAAAAAATTGCTTTTCTTGAGCTAATAGACATTTCTAATGTTACTCACTTTGTATGGTAGCTTTGAAGGTCATGAACTCTTGAAAAGATGTGCTACATGCATCCTTTTCTGTTAACATTTATATTACTTTTTTTTTTTTTCATTCTATCATTGTTTTTAAAGGGAGTTAATGTGAAAAGACTTGATCTTGTTTATGAGGAAAATGTTATTCAACATAATCAAAACCTTGCTATATGATTCATTTTCATTTCATACATGCATTTCAACACAGATAATGACATCTGGAGTTATGCAGTATATACAGGCCCTGACTCAAAAGCTTTTGAAAACAGTCTATGTTAATTTCAATTGGCACTGGATTGGATTGCTAACCTATATCATATTGGCTCTTTATTGCACATATAATTAATATCAGAAGTTTGTTGTTAACAAGAGGTATACAATGATTCACCAAGGAACTTGAAAAGTTGAATTTTAAATCTTTCAATGAGTTGGAAAACAACGTGATATATTAGCAACCCTAGCTTACCACTGTCTGCTACTTTTCAATGTTAAGCCACATTACCTTTTGGAGCTCATTTTATTTCTATGTCATTATTTGTAATATTTAAATGCCAAACTGACTACAACAAAGATCAATGTATTCCCTTGTAGATTCTATATAAATTCCAGCCATGGTCATCATCTTCCTTGATTAAAAGTGTGGCTATTTTATTTATTTATTTTTTAACATTGGTGCAGGATGGGATGCTGTTTTGGGGAAAGCTTCTAGAAATCAGACCCTATCTTCTTGTTACGGAACAACACGATCATGACTGGATTTCTACAGCATCTGGCTTTTCTTTATATCATGACTGACCGTTCAGAAGTTCTCAATTCAAAGTTGTCATGGCTACTCATATATCCTTCTGAAATTAGTAGGATTACTCACGTGAGTAAATAGAACCAGATTTGGCCCTTACCTTATACCAATAGAAATAACCTTTTCCTGTAAAATAGTACTGATCATTGAAGTCAGTCAGTTGTAAAAACCATCATGTTACTTACTGCACCAAATTTGGCTTGGTATGTGTCAGACATAGTATACTTAATGCTTCAGAGAAAAAGAACAAACCCCATCATGCCTTGCTCTGCCCTCCCAAAGATTAAATGAGAAAAATGAAGTCCTATGCTACATTCCTTAAAAACTGACATGAATATGCTTCTCCTTACAAACACTTCCTTAGCCAAACAGTAATTCCAGCCTGCCAACATTTGTTTAGCATGAATGTACTTTGGTTTAATGCTACCTGCAGGCAGATACAGATTCCTGTCAATCTTAACTCGCCATGACAACAGAAATTAAAGCTTACTTTCTATTACATCCAGAATAAAAATAACTGAAAAGGTCTGTCTGTCTAAATAAATATCTTGCATTTAGTCAGTCACAGCCATCAGTAAGGGCAAATCTAATTTTTCATATATTTCACAGCTGACTCCCATATTAACTGCATATCTATTTCTTTTCAGTTCCCCAGAATAAGGGGTCAAAGGATGTAGGAAGGTATACAGGCTACTGCTACTACAGAGACTATGCAGGACCTAGCTTAACGCTGTCATATCAGGGTTGAAATCCATTTCATATTCTGAGGCTAAATGCCTGCTTGCTTCAATAGAAGAACACTATGCCCTTATAAGCAATGATGCCCTACCTTTCCTGACCTTGGCAGAGAAATGAAAGTGTCAAACCATTTGACATTTCTAGTACTTGCACTACTTCAAGTCCTTATGAGCATCACATGCAGCTCACCTATTTCTACTTACCATAGCACCTTCGTTCAACACATTGTTGAGTCCATAAACTATCTGACACTTGAAGTTACATTTCTTAAAGTACCTTTTAGTAGCTCAGCAGATGTGCCGACTCTCAGTAATGTATTCTTTAAAAAACACAAGTTCAAAGTGCAACATTGATTTTCGTGTAAAGTTTTTGTAAATATATTTTTGCCCTATTTCAGTATTCGAAACATGCAAGAAACTCAGTTCACATTATCATATGGACTATGAGTAATGGTTTTTCATGGATTGGTTAAACGCACTAAAAAAATCTCTGCTTTCATACAATACATTTAATTTTATAATCAAAAAAATTTAAGTGGTGTTGAAACTCGCCTTCATTACCAAAATTCTTCTAATGACGTGATCAATAGCCCCATAATCTAAATCATCCTTTCATTCAAACTGAAAATATTCTTTGTCAGGAGAAATAGCTTTAATAATTTCAAGATGTTATTGGAATAAATGCTACTGGCTTGAGTAGCCATTATACTTGGCAAGTCTGTGTAACCAGTGTTCACCACGCCCTGATGAGAAAGAAAAATAAATAGTTGTCAAAGCTTTCATGTATTATCTTGGAAAAATTTCACATGTCCTCCACAGATCTGATGCCTGTTTTATACATGCTAGTAAATCAGATTTGCATATTACTGTAGACATGAGTTACTAAAGCTTTGTTTTACAAGTTAAGGTTCTGTTTAAAACGAATAGCTTACTCTGATGCATGACCAAAGAAAGCCAGCAATTTTGTCAGGAAGCCAGAGACCAAATGAGCTGGGAGGCCAGTCAGGGAACTAGTCACAAAACCATATGGTCCTTATTTTTAGGATAAGAAATCAACTACTACTTCAAATTTGAAAACACCTCACGATTGTCTGATAAGAATCACATTGCACAATGTGTTTCCCAGATTAACTGTACTCCAGTCAACCCCAAGGAAGAAGATATAGGTACCTTCATATTTAAAGTCTTTGCAAGTATATCTGGATGAAGATCATGTTTCTTTAACATCCTTTCATATTATTATGAATGTACACCATCAAAAAACACTGAAGAATTCTAATGCCATGCTCTGAAAACAACTTACACTGAATTCTGATCTTGAACAGGATACTCTAAATGATTATTTCTTTTCATTGCATCATTCCACGATAGCCATCTGGACATTGCAGTTGCAAGTTCATCCCATATGCAGCCACATGTGTTCATACATGTGCACACACATCTTAAAGGAAGTCATAACAATATCATGATAAGTAAGTATGGCAACCACAGAAGTCAAAACAATGTAAAATTGAAAAGGTTTTGGTTGGAATGTTCTTTTCATCTAGATTGCCAGAATAGGCCGGTGCGTATATCTGTTATCTGAAGGAAAATAGACAATGAATGCCTGCAAGTATTCTGCTATTGCTTTATGCCCCACTTCCCAAGTTGGTTCCTAATGGAAGATGCCTTACCTTTTCCTCCTCAGGAAAATTAGTGTACACAGCATTTTTAGTTGCTTTAAATAATGGCTCTTTACAAAGGAAAAGAGATGACAGTACTACAAAGAAGAAAAAGTGAAGCACTGCAGCTATTACCAATGAGAGTAAAGCAGAAAATAAAAGGAGTGTAGAAGATTTTTCCTCATTATGCACGATAGTATTTGGTTTATTTTCATGCTGGAATCCCACACCTTGGGTAAATTTTCCCACTATGTAAGCTGGATATTTAAACTATAGAGCAAGCCATTGAGCCATATGGCATACAAGCAGACCACCTGTGTGCCTAAAAAGCCCAGTGCTATACCAACACCAGAGCAACATGACACATGAAGTCCAGGCAGAAAAATCTAAGCAGCACACATGGGGAGAAGATGCAAGCAATATCCAAACTGTTGATTATATGTCAATGATGTCAATGATGAATGTCAACAGAAACAACCTGACCCAGAACAACATACTTGGAAATGGTTCAGTAAGAGAAATACTTAAGCTTGGAAAAATCTACATGAAAACTAAGAACTTCAAATTTTAAACAGAAAAATAACAGAAATATTTCTTTCCCCCAGAGGAAAAGACAAAACTGGCCATTTTCCATTAAATTAAACAGCGATAGCAAATTTCTCATCAGTTCTGCAAACTGTAGAGTTGGGAATTATGCAAACTTCACTATCTTTAATCAAACCCAAGCATTAATGATTTAAAACTCTTTTGACAATCAATTCAGCACAAAACCCTGGAGATGCAAAATCAAGGGACAATGGTAGGCCCTTCTAGAACATCACTGTAAGCCAGCAAGTTTATTAACAGCCTTGATTTCATCAGTTTCATTATATTTGCCATTCTTCAGGTTTTAACTGTATGAACCAGAGCATTACAGAAAAAATAATCTTCCATTTAAAAAGAAAAACATCGCTGTAACTAAGTTGGAAATGTGACCCCTGAAGAGATAATGACAGAAAAGTTTAAGATTGATTACACCTTCACATTTTTTTTTTGAAAACAGTCTCACATTTTGGACAGCATTGTTCTGGAAAAAAAAAAGCAAAATGAAAATTGTTTAGACAATATTCAATAGACAAATAATCATACCTTTATATCATGTCACCAATATATATATGACATGACTTTTCCAATTCACATCTGAACTTCATCTTCATCTAGAAACAATAATCTTGAGTTGAAATTTATCATTTATATTATAAAACTGTAAAACAGTGACACTGAACAATATCTTCTAAAAATTTACTCTTTTCTCTATTTGGAAGTGGACAGCTCAAAAGTCTTATTAATAAAGCTCTAGGGATGAATTTATGGGCATTTTTGGTATTATTGTTAAAGATGATGTTACCATGCTTATAAAAGTCACAATGCATAAAACATTCAAAGATGGAATGTTGGTGTCTGGGTAATATTCCAATTTGTGGTTTCATTACTTATGAAAGAAAAAAACTCTGCTTTAGTACTCCACAACACATAGGTAAGAATTCCTTAACAGATCTACTGTGTCTTCATGGAAAAAGACTGTCTTAATTACTATAACAGATTACTTGTATTCCCCCTGCATGTCAGTTATTTCTAAATGCTGCAGTGCAATCTACACACATTACACATGTAAAGTTATCCAGGATAAGTCATTTCTGCTGTACCTCCAGCCTTAGCTCCACAGTTACTCATTGTTCTTTCATCCTCGTAGTGATTAGATTTGGAGCTTTCCTCCCCACCTGCATATTTAAGAAAGAATTATTAATCTTGTTGGTTTACTAACTAGAAACAAAGAAAATGATTGAGTAGATATATAATACTTCTGATGCTTCCAGAAAAAAAAAAAAAAAAAATCATATTGCATATGAATATCTAGATAAGTGCTAATTTCACTACGCATATTATATTGGCAGGGACAGACATACGTTTAAGCTCTGCAATAGTTATAAGCAATATCTAATGTGGTATAAGAGCTGTACTAATATCAATATCCAAGTCTTTATACTGTTTGATAAATAATACCAGTTCTGCTTCGATATATTCTTGAGGCTTTTTTTTTTTTTTTTCTTGACTCCTGCTGCTGGGAAGATGATCTTAGAAGCAGGCAATCCATGCCAGGGGCAATCCTGAGTGACTGCAGCCCAGGGATGACTGCTGCTGAGGCAGGGACAGCCGCAAGGAGCTATGGCATGTGGGTGACCCTAGTAGACAGAACATGTTACACACAACTCCATAGTCAAAGGAAATGAGAAGGACCAAGGATAAATGTGTGGAAAAAGAGGGAACTTGAGATTAGGAAGGAGACAGGAGGAAGGAGGTGTTTGGCTAAAGTTGAGCCTGGGAATTCAGAAAGAAACATATTCCAGTGTTTAATTATGTTTTCTTTCTTCTGAATATGCAAATCAGTGATCAAAAATGTATGATAATTCATAATAAGTCAAGTAAAAATTCTAAGTCACAACTCCTGAGTGCAATACATTAGATAAACCTCAAAAAATTGTTTTCAAAGGATATCCTTCAGTGCAAATGAGAGCAGAACTTTGACCATAATATTTTAGTGTTAAACGTTATTTTAGATTATAAGCCATATTTTCTTACTCTGCCTACTATCAGATCCTCTAACACCCCTTGCTTTGTAACTTCTGCTGCATCCAGCCCAGTAATGTCACTGGTGATTATCAGCATCTAGAGAGATCAAACAGATAGTAAAGTGTATTCAATGATCACTTCCTCCATCACTTGTTGTGTCTGCAATATGCCTTATCTTCAAAAGCACTTGAACTTTAAAAGAGCATCAGTGGCTACAAACTATATATATTATTTTTACTTCCCTGAAGTACTATAAAAACTTATCTCAATAATGCAGCACAGTTAAACAGGTGAGTTAGGTAATAAGAGCAAGTGGTCATTCATATAAACCGTGCTATATGTAGAAACTAGATAAGGTAGAAATAAGCTGGATAAAAAGTTAAACAAAACATTGCTAGAGTCACTATATCACAGGATATAGATTTTAATATAAACTTTGTTAACAAAAGATGCTAATCCTGATTTGTCCAGGTATCTAACTGTTTTCCTTTACTAAAGCTCTTCTCAGACATGAATTGACAGGTACACTGAGAAGGGTATCAGTAATGCAGAGTTCAGCCTTAGAATGAAAAAAAATAGACTGTTTTAAGATCCTTAAAATCAACGAATGTCCCTCTAAGGCATGATGTGATTTAATGCATTTTTACATTTAAAATTATTGAAATTGATCAAGCACTTGCCAAAAATAAATGAATAAATAAATACGGCAGAAATCAAAACAGAAATCTAATACATTCACTAGCAAATTTTATTTCCCTCGCATGCACTGTATTAAAGCAGGTGAGAACAGACAGTTTGAGTCCTATACTGTAGTGTCCTGCAAAGCAGAAGAGGATCTTGTACAAGATCCTCCTGGGGACCACCCTAGGAACACTCCAATCCTGAGCCCTTGGGGAAAACTTAAAGGTACTGATCAAAAAAAAAATAAATGTATTCAGAGACTTGACTTCAAGACAGTTGGGAGACTTGAGCAACCTTCAAGTTGTAGTCCAGGTTTCCAGCACAAAAACCTACTTTGTAAACATCATCAGTACCAACTGTACCTTCACAGGAGAAACTTGTCCTGCCACCATTATCTCACCAGTAAAATACCTGCCAAAACAGCTGACAGCACTACTGATTTGTAGCTACAACATGTAAACAGAACATCTTGTAGATAGGTAGTGACACTCTCAGATGAGAAGATTCAAACTACTGTGGCAAAAGCACACGCATGAAATGCCACATACTCCCGAGCTCAGATGCCAGCACACAGATCACAGGAGCAAAGCCAAAACCGTCTTAAGATAAAAATGTAAACCAATTAGATAATTAATAGAAGCCTCATAAAATAAACAATAGCTATAATTGACATCTTAAAGCAATAAATCTAGAAACAATACATTCAAACATCAATCCAATTTATACCAATGATTTGAAAATTAAATGCTTGGTGGAAGACAATTGCTGGGAAAAGAATGCATACCAAAGGTGCAGGCTCATAGCATGAAGTGCTTTCTGCAACTGCAATATCTTATTTTTCTTTTCTGCGGATCAGCTAACATGCCTATACTTCACTGTCAGCACGCTTGCACAGAACATGGACAGTGCACAGATCTGCTCCCAGCTATTCCAGGAATTCGCAGCATAGATTCCCCTGCTAAAGTAACCAGTTGATGATTATATGAACTTTACATGAACTAGGAAACAGGGTAAACCTTCCAGTTACCTTCAGAAGGAAGTAAACCTTCGAAATATAAGTTGCATTCATATTTATGTGCTTCTTAAGCACTCCTCTACTACTTATTCCTCCCAATAAGCTATTGCTCAAAAGCCTTCTCAATTTATTGTTTGTTCAGAGAACAGGAGGTGGCCCAGAAGACATTCTTGAAAATATTCTTGAAAATGTTTTGCATAAACTTTCTGTACCTATATGGACCACACTAGAATAAAGATGACATATTAAAAAAGAAAAAAAAGAATATATGTCTTTGTTACAGCAGGTTCTCTTTTTTTGTTAGCAGCATCTAAGGCTTGGTTTGGCTTGTTTGGTTTTGATTTACTAGGGAATTAATGAAAGAACCACTGATTTTTTCCAAATTGCTGCAGATATTTGTTAATGAGAAAGGGAAGGTTGTTGTATTAAGTTTGTTTTGCTTCCACCTTTTTTTTTTTTTCTTTACCCTCAAAAAACATTTTTCAGGCTAGTTAACTATGGGTTTCTTAGAGCATTACAGCATTTGGCCAAAGAACGTCTGCGTAGCAAAATTTAACAGTCAGAAAACTTTTCCATCTTCATAGCTTCCCTATTTAAAACATTTTTTCTTACCTCCTTCAAAATTTAAAATAAAACTAAGCTCTAGCACATTGTAAAATCCTCTTTAATCTAAAAGTGATACTTTTTATAACTGATATAAACAACTGATATAATGTCACTGGTCTAAATGTTACTGCAAGGTGCATCCAGTGCAACTCTTGTCTATCTGGATATGGATGGCAAAACAGCTGGTCCATTATCAGTAGCACCAGGCAAGATGGGCAGTTGATCTGGGAATTCCTATCCAACTCTACAAAATAAGTAATTTTTAGCTTACTTACAAAAAGGAGCAATAATCTATCCCCAGTGCAGTTAATGGCAAAATTTCCACTGGCTTCACTGAAGTGAAATTTTACCCAGTGGAATAAAATAAAAGACTGGCAAAACTGAAAGATGCCTGATATGCATGTTGACCCAGGGCAAAACACGTTTTCTGTATTAGTTAAAAAACTGTTTTCCTCCTGTGGATACCATGTGCTTTGTTGTCACAGCCATACAATCCCGAGGTAATAATTTATTTTTGGTCTACAGGCAAGTAAAAAACTTTAAAAACAAATATTTTAAGAGAAGCTTATATATTAAAAATAATAATAATAATAAAAAAAAAAATCAGCATTGTTTAGAGTCCTGTGTTAGGCTATTGCAGGGAAACCGGAGGTTTTGGCACTAGGTTAATTGGATTTGAATAGCTTCACAGACAGAAAGAGAGGTAGAATATGTGACAGGAAAATACTATTCATCTTCATAGCCAGATTGTTTAAATTTACCAGAGCTGTCAGGGACCTTTTAGAGACTAGTTTCATGATTTTGTTTATAGTTCTGTAAAGAGAAACAATATTGACTGCTGACATTATCATGACTTGTAATTGTTCCCCCTTAGCTTCACTGTGGCTGAGCTCATAAAAAGTGATTTAACTTCAATTGAACTTCATCTCCTTCTGACAACAATATAAAAAAAAAAAAAATGCTTTTAGTAAGGTACAAAGATACAAAACTGAAAGGCACAATTTAAGTCATGAGGTCCTGTGTCCTTCAGCTGCAAGCACCACACATAATCTTTTTGTAAACCTAGTTTGGCTTCAGAAATATCTAAGTAGGAAATGTTTCCTATCAAGTGAAATTTGAAATGCAAGGTCACAGCAGTAATTTCCTTATAGATACAAATGAAGGAAAAAAATCCACTGGAACAAGTTGTTATACTGTGGATGAAGATCTTTCTTCATATCTGATCCGATTCAAATCTTACTGATGTCAGATGAAAAACTATTCAAAGATGGAAAGATGAGACCACATGCTTTTTCTGAAGGTACAGGACAAAGTCTTGTTCTGTGTCCCTGAAGATTCAGGACAAAGCAGTAACTGCAGCAGTGGACACAGTTAAGAAAGCAAGACGATTCCAGTACAGCTACAGATCAGTATACTCTGTATTACTTATTATGTTTATATAAAGAGAACTATACTTATTTACATAATCATCAAATGACAGCTTGATATTTAGCTACTGTTTGTATAGAGATGCATCAACCAATTATTATCTTTTCACTTTATTCTTCAGCACAGATGTGATATGTTTAAAGGATTTTATTCACCTCTCCTGTAGAATTATTTTTCTAATGGCACTGAACTAGGATCACTTTCCTCTGGAAAAGTGGAAATCCCCAGCTGCTGTCAGCTAACTCCCAGCTTATCTTCAATCTACTTTGCTGCTTGCCATCTTATGTCACCTCACTTTTTTTTTTTTCCCTTTCTCAAATATGGAGAGAAATTTAAAAGGTAATTTCTGGATTGTATAAAATGCTTCAGTTTATTCTGACCACAAATGTTTAAAAACCACCAGGGAATGAAAAGGTCACATCAAAGCTCTCTAAATACCAGCATGTGAGTTCTGTACTCTTTTTCTTCTTTAGTAACCATTATTGAATCTTATTCTGTGCTTTCTCTGATATTGAGGTGGTAGCAGTACCATAAGCTTACTTTTTTCCTACACTGTTAATGGATGGTTTACTCATTTTATATTATCTCAGTTTGGATGGACAGACAATAATCCAGATCATATTAACTGCTTATTTCTGCACAGTTTTGTTCATTAGCCACTTGTGTTTTCCCAATAAACAAAACAGACTGATAATTGATATATCGCAAGCAAGAATAATAATAAAAGTTTTAGTCCAAGGAGGCTGGAAGAATTAAACAGTGGCATAATCCACACTTTCTCTCTCTCTCTCATTTTTTTTTTTTTTTTTTTTTTAAGTCATAAACAGAGGCTTCTAATTCATTTAGCTTTCACTTGCTCCCACAGTTAATTCATCTTAGATACTCACTGCCAGGAGGTGAAATAAAGAGAAATTTGAAGACTGGCACTTTATAAGATATTTAATAGGTATGTTAAAAGGTCCATAGACTGTATGGCTATAGAAAGTGTGGAAATATGAAATACTGGGAGATGGAGCTCTCTACTGGGTCACTATTATTCTAAGAGGGAAAAATTACTGGTAGATGATTTCCTGAAAGCATGAGAGCAAAACCTGGCAGGGAACATAAAAAACAACCTCTTCCCTCCCATCTTTAACTAGACAGGGGTCACAAAGTAGCTGGTTTTCATCTTTGTGCTAAGCCTGCCAACCAGGCAGGCGCACCAATTGTGTTGGTACTTGCACAAAAGTGTCACTGTTACCATCTGTCTGAAGCTGGTTTCATTACAACCAGAGTGAGGTTTTTCATTGGGATAATGTCAGAAGCCTTGACATAAAAAAAGCTTAAAACATAAGATATTAACCCTTTCTGTTCTTCCCTACCACATTCTTAAAACAGCATCCTAGTATAGTTCCAGCTTTCTCAATGTAGGATGTGAAGCTGAGGATCTCAAGAAACACTAGGAACTGAATCATCATTGGAAAACAGTTGTGACAGCACTGTGAAAGAAAAGTGGGAAATAGCAGGGAGGACTGAACCTCTTTTACCTTTTCTTTCTTTGTCATATCTAAGCCTGCAAATAAACAGCACAAAAGAAAATAAACATGCACATGTGGCAGTTATGATGGAATCAAGGCAGGGACTGGTTGAAAGCTGATGTGACATCAAGACTTACAGGGCACTCCAAGCAAGTAGCAGCGTGAGAACGTAGGTATCAGAGAGGGTCTTCCCCCATATGATAGCAGCAGAAAGAAGGGAGAACAAACTGCTGCTCTGCAGACCTCTGTAAGTGCTGAGCTTCTGTATCGAACAAGTCTTCTATAAAGCAGTATGAGATCTTGGCCTGGATTGTTGTTCAGATTCAAAAAACCCAACCACTAGTGGTTTGAGTCAGCTTACATATCCTGTTGCTGTTTTCCTTGATGTACAATTGTAAAAGCATTAACCTTTGAGTGTCAGGAAAGAAATGCATAAAATTACTTTGTTATAACATGTTATACACAATGCAGAAAACATAGAACTACATTTGTTCTATACCTCCATAGTGGAGTGTTATAAAATCGTAAGCAGTGTTAGGAAAAGTTGTTTCAAGATGACTTCTGAAGAAACTATCAGTGGCAAGCAGCAAGCAAGTGGCAGTGAACATACCTTGTTCAATGAAGCACCTGTGTTTGATATCTTTACCAAATTGATTCTGCTTGAGATGAACTGCTACAAATTTTAACTATTTCAATGTGTAGCCTATGTACGTTAAGTAACTGATAGAAAATGTAGTTTGTGGGGGTTTTAGTTTTGTTTGTTTGTTTTTGTTTTTGTTTTTGTTTTGTTTTTTTAAATGAGTTTCTTATATAAATCTAACTGGCTCTGAAATCATTTCCAAATCTGAATTGTTTCAAAATGTGTCTTATACTGAAAGATGGTTTGGTCAGTAATGCAACATGATACTACATGGGGAGCTGGAGTTCAAAACTAGCAAGGAGAATTTTGCACCTTTACTTTTCAGCGGCTGTAAGTTTAGGAGGAGTAATAGTTACCCAATTCATACTGTCCCCAGGGCTAGGCCTCAAAATAAACACAGAAACTTCAAAGACAGCTTGGAGTGGAACATATACATGTAATACCGAGACAATCCTGTTTGCATGTTGTGATCAGTTCGTGCTTTCCTTTGGAAATAATCTTATATTACCGTTCTATTTATATGAGAGATTATCATGGAAAAAATAATTAAAAAGGGATATGTTAAATATGACATGTTAAAGCTAAGCCAAATACAAGACACACTTATTGATGGAATTTCTTACCATATGTTTCAACAGATTTACTAAAACTGTTTTTTTTTTTTTATACCTATGTCCTTAGAAAGGACACATTTAGTGTATTTTATTAAAAGGGTAATACTTAAGTAGCAAAAAAAAAACAAAACAAAACAAAACAAAAAAAAAACACAGAACTGATATACAAGATATAATGTTCAATTTTTTGGTAAAGGGGTCACAACCAGTTTTTTAGGACTGCCGGTGTAAAGCAGAAGTCAGAAAAAGGGGTAGTATCCCTAGAGCTCAGTGCTCCAATTTCTAAATTGAAGATCACTTCACTGACCAAGATTAGGTTAATTCAGGTTTTTTCAATTCCTTTTTTGGGTTAGACTGGATGCCCCTGTTGGTGAGAAAAAAAACATCCTTTGCTAGCTGTGTTTTTACTTCATGTAAGGGAGACTTCAGCCCATCTGGAAAGCAGGTTCTAGAATCTGACAACATTCTAGTCTTCCTTCTATGAGATTATTCTACTGGTGTAGAACAACCTACTGCAGAACAAACAACACTCCAGATAACACTAGATTATAAGAATATCAGTAGTGCACTAATGCTGTAGTCTGGTAGTACCCTGCAAACACTGGCTGTCATGCTAAGGGCATCATATCCTTCAGCAACTTACTCCATTGCTAGAACTGCAACTTTGCATAAAGTCTTTCTAGAAGGTGTGAGTTCTGAGCTGGATGGATAATACTGGCAAGAGTTGCATTTTTCTTGAACAAAGTTGCATCATGCACTTCTAGTTCCTCATTTAAGCTTGGACACAAGACATATCATGCTTGGTTAATTAAATTTAGTACTAATAATAATTTAAACTAGAATTTCATTCAAGATTCAGTTTCGCCTTGTGCTGACCTCTACTACAATTTCAGTATGTTCACTATAAAAAGTACAGATCATAGAATATCCTGAGTTGGAAGGGACCCGTAAGGGTCATCAAGTCCAACTCCTGGCATCGCACAGGTCTGCCCAAAAGTTCAGACCATGTGACCTAAGTGCACAGTCCAATCGCTTCTCAAATTCAGACAGGCTTGGTGCAGTGACTGCCTCACTGGGGAGCCTGTTCCAGTGCGCAATCACCCTCTCAGTGAAGAACCTCTTCCTGATGTCCAGCCTAAACCTCCCCTGCCTCAGCTTAACACCATTCCCATGGGTCCTATCACTGGTGTTTACAGAGAACAGGTCACCTGCCTCTCCACTCCCTCTTGCGAGGAAGTTGTAGACTGCAATGAGGTCCCCCCTCAGCCTCCTCTTCTCCAGGCTGAACAGGCCCAGTGACCTCAGACGCTCCTCGTGTGTCTTCCCCTCTAGGCCCTTCACCATCTTTGTCACCCTCCTCTGGACACTCTCCAACAGTTTCATGTCCTTCTTGTACTGTGGTGCCCAGAACTGTATGCAGCACTTGAGGTGAGGCTGCACCAGCGCAGAGTAGAGCAGGACAATCACCTCCCCTGACCGACTAGCGATGTTGTGCTTAGAACAGATCCTAGCACATAATTTAGACTGCAGGACCAGTGATGGTAAAAGAATAAATAAACAAACAAACAAGAGGCTAAATCCATTTGAATTAAGTGACCAGAATTCTATCAGTTGGGCAGGTGATGTATTTGGCTAAAAGTTACATAAATCAAGATCTCTATTTCCAAAGAAAGTACAAGTCTACATAGCACTGGCATACAAAATATTCAGTCCTTTACTGCAAATTTATCAAGTTATATCTGCTTGACATACGATCTCATAACACAGGTAGTTCATCTAATATGGTGCAAATACAAAAAAAACCCTTCAGGTCATCAGAATAAATAAGGTTTCAGAGTATTTACATAAAATACAAAACTTACCATTAAAACAGCATCTAAACCTAATATTGTTTTCACAGCATTAATTACTGCTCCAGCTCCTTAGTATTGCTCATCAGAAATCTTTTCTTCTTTGCCAATTTTATGTTTTATTTGCACTTTAAACCCTTGTTTTTAAAAATGACTTAACACCAGTAGGAGAAGCTACAACCCACTTCTCACCTTTAATTTTCTTTGGCAACTCCCACAACCAGGTTCTTACAGTGTATAGCTACAAAATAAATGATACAACTAAATACAAAGACTTTTCCTCTAATTCATACTAACTTAATCTTTATTTAATTCCAAAGGCACAGATAGCATTTCAACTTCCAGTTGATGTCAGTGGATATGGGTTATCTAATCACCTAAGTTTGAAAACTCCATCCATATATCACTGCCAGTAAAGTTTTATGCACATTAAGTCATCCCTAAAGAAATATAATCACTGGCTGACCTCAGTGAGATTGTTAGCGTGAGAGAAGGTGGCAGGATTGGGCCCTAAGTTTTCATAAATAACACAGACCATCTCCAGATGGACATTCCAATGTTAGTTTTTATAGTGTCTTCCACAGCCAGCCCACATGGTCTCACAAACACATTCATAAATGCCAAAACAATAGCAAATTAAAGTTTGGTTTATAGAAAGGCCTTGGCTCAGATGCTGTGTATACAAGTTCACACACTGTTTACCCTGAAAAAGGTGTGGAACTAACCACAATGAGGTGACAACCTCAATTCCAGTCACACATGAGGTGGGAAAACCAATAACACAACTGCAGGATGAGGAAAGGACACTATTTTTCCTGGCTCGTGTGTGAATAAATCGTGCTTTGTTAATAAAGAAATGAAGTCATTTTATAAAGCAGACTGAGGAACAGCTGTCTCTTCCCCCTTAGCACATATATGTGCATGTAAATAAAATATTTACGTATAAATATATATTTTATATATATATGTATAAATATATGCCTGACTGCACACACATTTCCACGCTAATTATGCTTATTCCCAGAGGAAGGAAGTCCTAGATTATTATTGTCCTAGCTCTCTATCCCTTGCAGGCAGTAAAATATTTTCACAGAATATCAACTTCCCTGAAGTCAAAGCATTACATCCACCTTGTGCTAAGCACTGGTCCAGGGATGACATGTCACCTAAATCCTGCTTGTGCTTTCAAGATAGGGTTTAAGTGATGGAAAGGTTATATATTGCCCTTCTATCTCTAATATACTCCCCTGAATCTATCATGTTTACCTTTATGACTTACCTGCTATGTAGATTTACCTTCTATGGCCAAGATCTTCCAGAATGCTGTCAAAACCCAATGCTGCCTGAGAAAGTAGCATGCATAGAAGACAAGGGAGATGCCTTGAAGGATGAATCAGTTTCACCCAAATACCATTCCTTTCCATTTTAACAGTAAGGTTCACACAGACCTGATATTTTGACCCAAAATAGAAGAAAAAAAAAAGGAATCAAATGTTTCATCTTACCTATACCCATGTTATTTTACAGAAGTTCTGTTTCTGCAAATAATGTTTTTCTCAAATACTATACATAATTACACCAAATGGCTGATTGTATAGACGTCGTTAAAACTTGGTTATCCCTGTAATTAACTGGAAATAGTCCAAAGCTATATATTAATTACTAACACAGATGCAAAAACTAAAACATATTTGCTTAAACATACACTGTCAGTTCAATGCCAGAAAACAATCTACAAGAGATTGCACAGACCAAGCAGATACATGTGACAGGGACATTCCTATTAGTAAGACTCTGAACAAAGCCATTTAGTATATGTATAGTGCACATCTTGCTTAAGATATACACATGGCCTTAAAGCAAAGCTGAGAACAGCTATAAGAACTTTGACTGAGAATAAGGAAACAACTGCCAGTATTTGTAACTGTCCAAAAAAAGTGTCATGAGGAGTTCACTGGAAAAATCTGAGTTCCATCCTACATGCATGTGTATCTTTTCAGGCCATTAAGATAACAAAAACCTAAAGAAAATTTTATTTTATTTTTTAACTGAAAAGGAAAGCCTTTCAACATGAAGTGATACAAAAAATTGTAGCTTTCCGGTACAATCCTGGGAAGACACACAACTGACTCTGTTGAAGAAAGAAGAAAATATGCTTCCTCCTCACATTAATGGCCCTTCTTTGTCCTTTGGGAGAAGCACAGCAATTCATCACAGTTGACAATTACTACACACGGTCCACTTGCAGTATCTCAGACACTTAGTTAATGAGTAGCAGGTACAGTAAAGCAAAACTTCCCTCTAATCCTTGGCCATTTACTCTAGGAAGGAAGGAAGGAAGGAAGAACGGAATACCTCTGATGTAAGATCTGAGGAATCCAAAGGAGAAGCAAAAATGGATTCTGGAAATGCTTAACCTATATCCTGTTCTACCCCACATGGCTAATGGAATTTTATACAAATATAAGAAAAAAAAAGATTTAACCCACAGTAATTTTTGTTTCACAGACTTTTCTAAGGTCAAAAAAAAAAAAAAAAAAAAAAACCATACTTCAATTTCATTTTACTTTTCCTTCCCATAAGAACATCCTGATACTTGCATATTGGTTGCACAACTTAGGTAGAACAGGTTTTCACCACTACCCTTCAATCTCTAGTCAGTTCTATAGCTCATGGTATCAATTTCCAGTCTTTGATATTATGACAGCAGTACAATACAGTCTTTGAGACTTAGAGTTTTATATTGGAAATTTTATTTTCATTTATACACATAGTTTGAAAAGGCTGAATCCTCAAGTTTCATGTACGACCTATCACTTCTCCATTATCATGCAAGCAACTATGATCATTATCCTGAAGTAGAATATTATTCTAAAAGTTTTTGTGATATAGATGGCTTTGATTTTAAAAAATATGTTAATAGAGATTACAGGTTAAGAATAATTCTTCCCATAGTTACTTAGTTACTTTCGGGGGAGGGGGGAGATTATAAAGTCATCTTTATAATGAGGGGGATGATTTACCTTGACATTTGGAATTTAATTTTCAGAGACATCTCAAGTAGATATCCAGTTCATGTATAACAAGTACTTGGGCAATGCTTGCACAAACATTTTTCTGATACGGGAACATATGCAATGAAAGCTAAGTACTCTGACAGCATATTTACACATTAAGTACAATTCAAGAAACCATCTTAGTACGACCACATGTCACTGATTGCATGTACAGATTTGAATGATGGAAGAATACATGCCAAAATTACAAGAACTTAAAAGCTGAAGGAAAAAATGAGTAAAGTGATGTACACCTGAGGTTTAAACATTAAGATCAACAGACATAAAATTAAACAAAAGAAAAGCAAGATCACAACTTTGTTTTCGTCTTTAGAGCTGTGCAAGATAGTTTCAAGGGACAGTATAGAAATACAGAAGGTTTTGCAAGGTACCAAACTTAAAATTACTAATTCTTAAATGTTAAAGCAATTGGTGAATATATTATAGACCGACATATACAATCACAGAATCATCTGGGTTGGAAGAGACCTCCAAGATCACCTAGTCCAACCTCTGACCTAACACTAACCAGTCCTCCACTAAACCATATCACTAAGCTCTACATCTAAACATCTTTTAAAGACCTCCAGGGATGGTGACTCAACCACTTCCCTGGGCAGCCTGTTCCAATGCCTAACAACCTTTTCAATTAAGTTCTTCCTAACATCCAACCTAAACCTCCCTTGGTGCAACTTTGGCCCATTCCCCCTTATCCTGTCACCATGCCTCATGGGAGAATAGACCAACCCCCACCTTGCTACAGCCTCCTTTAAGGTACCTGTAGAGTACGATAAGGTCGCCCCTGAGCCTCCTCTTCTCCAGGCTGAACAATCCCAGCTCCCTCAGCTGCTCCTCGTAGTACTTGTTCTCCAGACCCCTCACCAGCTTCGTTGCCCTTCTCTGGACTTGCTCAAGCACCTCCATGTCATCCTTGTAGTGAAGGGCCCAAAGCTCAACACGGTACTCGAGGTGTGGCCTCACCAGAGCTGAGTAAAGGGGGACAATCTCTTCCCTAGCCCCTGCTGGCCACACTGCTTCTTATACAAGCCAGGATGCTGTTGGCCTTCTTGGCCACCTGAGCACACTGCTGGCTCACATTCAGCCGACTATCAACCAATACTCCCAGGTCCTTCTCTGCCAGGCAGCTTTCCAACCACTCAGCTCCCAGCCTGTAGCTCTGCTTGGGGTTGTTGTGCCCCAGGTGCAGGACCTGGCACTTGGCCTTGTTGAACCTCATACAGTTGGCCTCAGCCCATCTGTCCAGCCTATCCAGATCCTCCTACAGAGCCTTCCTACCCTCGAGCAGATCGACACACGCACCTAACTTGGTGTCATCTGCAAACTTACTGAGGGTGCACTCGATGTCCTCATCCATATTGTCGATAAAGATGTTAAAGAGGACTGGCCCTAGTACTGAGCCCTGGGGGACTCCACTAGTGACCGGCCTCCAACTGGATTTGACTCCATTCACCACAACTCTTTGGGCCCAGCTACCCAGCCAGTTTCTAACCCAACAAAGCATACACTAGTCCAGCCAAGAGCAGCCAGTTTCCTGAGGAGAATGCTATGGGAGAAGGTGTCAAAAGCCTTATTGAAGTCAAGGTAGACCACATCCACAGCCTTTTTCTCATCCACCCAGCGTGTCACTTTGTCATAAAAGGAGATCAGGTTCATCAAGCAGGACCTACCTTTCATAAACCCATGCTGACTGGGCCTGATCACCTGCTTGCCCTGCAAATGCCACGTGATGACACTCAAGATAATCTGCTCCATGAGCTTCCCTGGAACTGAGGTGAAACTAAGAGGCCTATAGTTTCCCAGGTCTACCTTCTGGCCCTTCTTGTAGATGGGCATCATGTTTGCCAGCCACCAGTCAACTGGGACCTCCCCTGATATCCAGGACTGACTGATGGAAAGTGGTTTGGCCAGCTCTTCCGCCAGTTCTCTCAGTACCCTTGGGTGCATCCTATCCGGCCCCATCGACCTGCATACATCTAAGTGCTGTAGTAGGTCGTCAACCATTTCCTTGTGGATTGTGAGGGCCACATTCTGCACCCAGCCCCTTCCGCCAGCTGGGTATCTAGAGAATACTTATAGACTATAATACAATAGTCTTGCTCCTAAAGGCTGAGGCAAAAAAAGGCATTAAGCTCCTCAGCCTTTTCCTCATCTCTCATCACTAAGTGTCACCCCGCATCCAGTAAAGGTTGAAGATTCACCTTAGTCCTCCTTTTCATGTTAATGTATTTATAAATACATTTTCTGTTGTCTTTAACAGCAGTAGCCAGATTGAGCTCCAAATGAGCTTTGGCCTTTCCAGTTTTGTCACTGCACATCCTTACAACATCATTATAATCCTTCTGAGTGGCCTGCCCTCTTTTCCAAAGATCATAAACATTCTTTTTTCTTCCTAAGCTCTTGACACAAGCTCTCTGTTCAGCCAGGCCGGTCTTCTTCCGCGCTAGCTCGTCTTTGGGCACGTGGGGACGGACTGCTCCTGAGCAATTAAGATTTCCTTCTTGAAGAGTGCCCACCCTTCCTGCACTCCTCTGCCCTTCAGAACTGCCTCCTAAGGGACTCTGCCAACCAATGTCCTGAACAGCTCAAAGTCTGCCCTCCGGAAGTCCAAGACTGCAGTTTTACTCATCCCCCTCCTGACTTCGCCAAGAATAGAGAACTCTACCATTTCATAGTCACTCTACCCAAGACAGCTCCCAACCACCATATCTCCCACCAGTACTTCTCTGTGAACAGAAAGTCCAGCAGGGCACCTCCGCTGGTAGGCTCACTAACCAGCTGCATCAAGAAACTATCTTCCACGCTCTCCAGAAATCTCCTAGACTGCTTCCTCTGAGCTGTATTGCATTTCCAGGATATGTCTGGGAAGTTGAAGTCCTCCACAAGGACAAGAGCTGACGATTTTGCAACTTTTGCCTGTAGAATTCCTCATCCATCTCCTCATCCTGGTTTCATAGTCTGTAACAGACCCCCACCAGGATGCTTGCCTTGTTAGCCTTTCTGCCGATCCTAACCCATAGGGACTCAACCTTATCATTTCCAGTCTGTCTCAAGTTCCACAGCATCAAAACACTCTCCAATATAGAGAGCCACACCACCACCCCTTCCATGCTGCCTGTCCCTTCTGAAGGGCCTATAGCCAGCCATTGCAGCACTCCAGTCATGGGAGTGGTCCCACCATGTTTCAGTGATGGCAACTAAGTTGTAGCCTGCCTGCTGCACAATGGCTTCCAGCTCCTCCTTGTTGTTGCCCATGCTGTGTGCATTAGTGTAGATGCACTTCAGCTGGGCCATTGCCTGCTCCCCAGACCCTGACATTGTTCCCCTGGCACACCTCTAACAAGCCTTATTCCCTCCCCATCCCCCTTCCTACCTAGTTTAAAACCCTCTCAATGAGCCCTGCCAGCTCCTGCGCTACTGTCCGTTTTCCCCTTAGAGACATGTGGGACCTATCTGCAGTTAGCGGGACCGGGTGCTGAGTAAAGCACCCCATGGTCAATAATGCTGTATCATGGTCACCACAGTATTTTCTTATATTTCTGAATATAAGAAAATTCAGATCATAATTAAAATGTTGCAAGACACTGAGTGTTAATGAGCAGGCATCCTACATGGTCTGCTTTTTAAAATATATATATGTATACATCTGATACCTTTTGGGATATCAGAAAAGAGACAATATTTAATATATTTTAGGTGCCATGAGCAAAACCACAGGAATATTTCTGAATTTAATTCTGCTGGGATGTTCTAATCCATCATGCCCTAAAACAAATTTACAACCTTGTGAAGACTATAAGCCAGTGCATATGTACAAGATTAACAGTGATGTTTCTTTCTGCAGGTCAGTAAGGGGAATATAGTTAGATACTTTTGCTGTACAGACAAGCTTTATGTTCTTCTGATAGGAAAGAAAAAAGATGATTTTAAGTTACTGAAAAAGTATTTGTACAATTATTCTGTTTTAAAATCTTTAGCTGTCTTTTATGTAATAGGCCTGACATATAATTCAACATACTGTCAAATGTGGACATCTGTTTTCAGTAGACGCTGTTTTCTATGTTTACATTCATTATCCTAGTAATAACATCAGTAGTGTTTTTTTTTAATCCATAGATATCATGAGTTCACGCTAACCATTTATAGAAGTTGTTCTTTTCTGACATAATTAATCTGTCAGACACTTAAAGTTCTAAAATTACTTTACAACAAGCATTTTGTGCATCCAAGTCAAACCTGCTCCAGAAAATTAATTTTCCACAGCTCTTCTCAGTCTGGATATAATTGGTAGCAACCTAAACCACATCTTTGTTTTCTCATACTCTAAAGAAACACCAACAACTTAGTTAAGGACACACAAAAAAGTATAACACACACAACACACCAGTCTAGGCCCAAGCTCATTGGCAAAATACTTTTTGCAATATGCCATAAAATCTATTAGAATTGTGGTTATTCAGGAATTATTTTCCAGAATTGAGTTGTGAAACAAGCTCAATAGCTTTGTCAATCAAATCAGAGTTCAAAGTAAAAATGATCCAATGAATTCTATCATCCAGAATAAACTGCAAGAAGAAACAAATTAGAAATGTAAATTGTGTTTTTGCTTTAATGATATAAGTTACTTAATTAAAAGTATTAACATATAAGCATCTGAAAATCCATCAAAATTTAAGCACTATTACAGACATCAGAATGCCATGTTATATTTACTGTGACTGGAGGAAGGTAGTTGCAACAGTTCAGAAAGATTTTAGTTTTGCATTTTTTTCTATTGGCAAGATGCCAAGTCATTTTTATTTTGGTTCATAGCCTCTTATCTTCTGTTATTTATTCATAACAATTCACAAAATACACTGCTACTAAAAGCTTACTAGGAATTCAAGAATGGATAGCCTAAGAGAAATTCAGTGTCACAAAACAGGAGAATCAAATAGAAAGTGTGAAAAGGAAAAAATAAGCATTTTTTGAACATTTTCATTCTAGCTGAATGGTAATATCCAACAATTTACCAGGATAGTCTTTGGGGTTTTGCTATGGTTTTCAGTCAGAAGACAAAGATATCTGAGGTATGTATAGTGAGACAGAGAACCGTTATAACTCATTTAGATACATGTAGAGTATTCAGCAGGGGAAAGCACTATCTGTTCAACCACAAGATAATTTAAAGAGCTAAATACAGATTTATTAGTGGCATGAAGCATGATATGTAGTTTGCACTCTGCTTTAGAGAAAGGCTAGCATCTCTTACTGTTATTTTGTTTTCATTATTTGTATGGTGAGAGACTGAGAGGCCTCACATTTAAACAAAAATTAGTGTGAAACGTTAGATTTCTAAGACTTTTCAACTAATCACAAAATTAGCTCAATCAGCTAGCAGTGTCTGTGGCAGTAAGCCTCATCACAGGCATTATGTTTGTATACTTTGTCTGTTAGAAGTCTTCATTACAGTAAAAATGCTTCTGTTATACTGCTAGTGGTACGTGCTAAATTAATCTAGTTTACGAGCACATACCTTTAACATCACCATTATTTTTTTTTAAGAGCCCAGCTTATTTGATTTCTTATAGCACAAACAGCACTTGAGCAATATTTCTCACATGATTCGAGTCATGCTTGAAAGACAGGAAGCTTTAAAAGTTTCCTATCATATGAAATCTTTTAGTATTTATATTGCATTTAATTCTGTGTATTCTCTATGCACTTTGAATTAAATATACCAACCAAACATTCCTTTAAGACGTGTCTTCCATATTTTACTGATTTCTCTTTGTGTTTTCTCAACATTTTCATTGCAATTTTCAAAGAAAGTCCCTAAGGAAACAATGGCATATTAATTGTTTAGTTTATCCTTAGAAGAACGGTAGTTTAGATTATTTTATTATGTTCCAGATGATGATTGCCCAACCAGATAATGTAAACAAAGTAAACTGGAAACAGTTTAATTACGAAAAACCATTCCTTGGAACGCTGTAGCGATCCATTTGTAGTTGAGAGATACTCAACAATTCAGTGCACAGTGCAGGGAAGATTATTGCCATATTAGTGATGAAAAAATAATGCATAAAGAAAAAAAAAAACTTTATCAAAGGAATAAATAATGCAATTTAGGAAAGAATACAAAAAGGTAATGTAGCATCACTGTATATGATTCTTAATCTTGAGCTGATAGGTGCAAGATTGTTTCCCAGATGAAACTATTACAATGGCAAAATTACTTTTAATTTATACCAGATGCATTTCTTGGGAGGTGGTATGGCATTTAGGATTCAGACAGACAAATATGCTCACATCCTTACTGGTATCTATCCTGAAAAACAAAAATATGAAACCTGCTGCTGCCAACTGTATTTTTTTGTTTGTTTGTTTGTTTGTTTTGTTTGTTTTTTTTTTGGTGGCGGTGGTGGTGTTCATTTATTAAAGAAAACATTGAGAAGTTTTGACTATGCACGTCTCCAGTGTTTTCTTCATATTAAAATAAAATCAGAATTGAAGAAAGACTTTTATTTATTTATTTATTTATTTATTTTTAATGTATGTTGGCTGGTCACTTGCATGTAACTGGTCTTTTATTTTCTGTGAATTTAAGAGGTGCTGGCAAAAGAACTGTTGAGATTTTAGATTTGTTTTACTTGCTTAAATAGAATTTAACATTCTTTATACTGTAACTTCCTCTTTAAATCAAACAGGTTACAGGTTTTCTGGTAACTGACATCACTGTCAGAAATTACAGTCAGAAGCAGCCTACGAAAAAGGTAAATAAGTCAACCTTTGTGTGCATCTCTAAAATATCCATGCTGTCTGTACTAAACATATAAAGTACACTGTCATGGAATTTGTTCAGAGACTTGCAAACGGGGATTCTTCATTTTTCCAGATAATTGCACATCTTAATGAAATCCTTTGGAAGATGAAAAAAAATAGGGAAATGATTTGGGGTTCTTGCCATTACACTTTCACGTTTATTCTTGCAGTAGTAATTCAAGGTAATTTCTGGAATATAAGGCATGAGGGTTTGTAGAGACATTATTTGCCCAACTAATAATCCATTTCAGTTTATCCAAAAACAGACAACCAGACACTGCAAACCCTTCTTTCACTCTAAAATAGAAGCAGCCAGAACCAAGAAAAGACCACAATACTATAAGAAACCCTGTGCACTCACAGTTATATCAGACTATAGCATACCTTTCGCAGTCTGTCAACTTCTCAAGGTTGAAAAATCGCTTAGATTGCCATCCTGCTTCTGGGTGTAATGTTCCAGCAACACTGAAAAAAGTATTGAGCAACTGATAAGACAATGCACTAAAAATTCAGCCATCACATTTACCCTAGCTGAAATAAGACTCTTCCATGCCCTTTATATTGTTCCAATTGTCCTGTAAGAATAAAAACATGAATATAACAAGCTGATTGGTAAACCCAGACCACATCCATACAGATTTCATTGCCAAAAAAGCATGCGTTACATGCATAGGCATGTATAGGAAAATCCATCACTCTCCTTTTAATTGTAAAACAGAATAAAAGACCTTCATATCAAGCGAGGCCCAAGAAACTGAAAATTAATAACTCGATTAAACACTCTGCCAAGTCACAGAAGTGCCTAAAGCAAGATAAACAAATTGAACGAAAGTTTGCAGAAAAAAATATCTTATTTTTCAAGTCTATCCAGTGTAGTTGCTTTATTTCCAGCTATGGTTTATTCAGACTTCAGAAAGATTATACATGCAAAGAAATAAGCTTTTCACACGAGAGAAGTTCTTGCTCTTTTACTGAGCTCCTCTTACACAATTTTTGAGACAAGTCAAATAATAAGAGCCACCTGCCCTCCACATTTCCAAATAAAATCTTTCTGCTGCATCATGGCTAGTAACTTGCTCAATATTTACAGTTTGTAAATCAGTGTTTGGTGTTTTAATATCAGCTAATGTCACGGAGGCACATACTGTCCTTGATGTATTATAGTTATAAACATTTGTTGCACTTCTAGTGACCCTTTCGTGTGGGTTTTTCTACCTTAAATCCGAAGTTTTTAGTTTATTTAATAAATACCAGAGAAAAAAAAAAAAAAAAAAAAAAAAAAAAAAAAACAAGAAAAAAGCCAGGTATAAAATACCAAAACCAATGGCAAAATATTTCTAGATATCACTAAATTTCTAGAGTAGGAAGATACATTCAGTCACAGTAGATACAAGGGTCAAGATCAGGGTTATCTGTACATAGAATGATAATAAAGAAATAGCATAGAGAGGAACATTCTTGGAGCTTAATGCTTTTTAATCAGATCATATTGTTATGTATTTCCATAGGTGCAGAAGTGCAGACTAAAGTGCTAAGTTTTCTACATTTTGTCCTAAGAATTAAATCTTTAGAGCTGATAAAAGACATTCCTTAGGGTACTATTGCCTTTCTAACATTGGCGCTACCAATGAAAAGCCTTTTCACACACATATACCTTCTGAGTGTCCTTCCTCTGAATAGAAGCATCCTGTCCAATTATCTTGCCATAGTGTTACTACTTCACTACTTCTGTTGTGCTCTTGGAGGCAAATCATTTCCATATTTCATTAACAATAAACAATTCGGTTACATTAAAGACTTAAAAGAATTACCATCTCAGTATGCAAGTTTCTTGTTTTCTAGGTGCCCGATCAGACACACATGGGTGGAATTCATTTTACACTTCCTTCAGAGAAAAATGTTCTTCACAGGGTATTTCAACTGCCCTATCTCAGACTTTTTGACTTTTTTTTTTTTTTTAAAAAGAGATCAGTTATCCTCTGGAGGGAAATGGTGAGCATAAATGTCTGCAAAAAAAGGAAACACTGAAAATAATAGGATAAAAATGAGTACTCTATGAGCAATGTTCATCTGAAAGAACAAGTAATATGCAAATACAAAGCTACATGTATGTTCGAAGACAAATATCTAGACATTAAAGATGACATACTACAGCTTCTTAAAATGTTAATTTGAAATTCTTAATGCATCCTCACTTCTTCAAAAATCTATGAGCAAATCCACAGTGAAAGCAATTTCTTTAGAGAATAATATCTCTTCATAATGAGTAAAAAAACCACATGGTTTTGACCACATGGGTCAAAACCACATGGACAATGATTCTGAGTGGAAATTCTTTAAGCATTTGTCTTTACGTGACAGAACATTACTCAGCCACTTAAAAATGAAATAATTGACTGAAATCAATCTCCTTTGCTGCAGTAATGGAACTCTTGACCTATGAAGAAAAAGGCATGATTGTGTTTTTGTTGTTTTCTTTTGTAATTATTATATTGGGTAAGGCTTTTCTCAGACTTTCCAAAGAGTAATGAATAATACCTTATTACAACATCACCACATCCTGTATATTACTGTACAAGCTAACTTCTGAGATATCATAGATGTATTTTATGAAAATGAACTCTAGCAAGTTCACTTTTTGTTTATTCAACAATAAATTATGTTTTCAAATTATTTTAAATATACAAATTAAGTATACAGGTTTCATAGCAAATGGTAAAGTTAAAGTCAAGTTTTCTGTGGGTATTGTGATGATACAACCATCTTAAAAACAAAAATATTATCTTGCTTTCTTACCCATTATAAAATCAATGAAGAATTTTAATATATACCAAAATGAAAACACAGTGCATAAGATTAATTACATTTCAGTCGGTACATTATTTGATACAATGTACAAGTGACATGGACTACATAAAGATCTTTAAAGTAATTTACCCTGATTTATAAATGGCTTTTGGCTAAAGCTGTTATTTGGACATCCAGAAGCTGTTAAAGATATAGCAAGATCACAGGATTATGAATGGTAACAAATCAAGAAGCTCAACACCCTACCCATGTTTCTATAACTAACATTTTTTCCCCTCCTTTCTTTTTTTCTCTTCTCTCCAGTACTTCCATTTATTGATGTAAATCGATGTAAATATTTTACTTTCTGGAAGTAGTGACCAACCTGACACAGTTCATCTTTATTTCATTTTAGCAGGCACTCCAGATCTTATCCAGGTGCATACTGATACATCATACAACTATGTATCTATATCTCTACCACTTAAATGTATTTTCATTGACCTGGGGAGCTAAGTTGGTTATAAATCATCATTACATTACTACAGGTGTTTCTTGCCCTGAGATATGCAAGAACCATCAAGCATTTCCATATGAAACAGCTTTTCCAAGAAAACCACACTCGCAAGATTGAAACCAAATGTTAATAAGTAAAATCAATAAGTAAATGAATAAAACAGTTTTTCAAGGAATCTTATGACTTGAAAGGATACAGGACTTCCTCTAGAACATCTACCCCAAAATAGTATAAAGTCTACCTGAAAAACTGTTGTCAATGTCAAGAATGATGAGTATTCCACCATCTCAGGAAATGCATTCAGGTCCCCATTATTTTCATTTACGGAGCATCTAATTTAGTTCAGCTGCATTTACACATGCCTTACTCACAAGAGACATGATAAATCAATTTTGGTTTTGCATCAGCCTTTTACATGCCCAAGAACTGATACTAAAATGTACCTTTCAGCAAAAACCACCCAATTTCACTCCAATTTCCCTTTAAGTCATAACTCCTAAACATTTAATCATTCTCATTCTTCATCTTGGTATTCTCTTCAACTGGTCCACATCTTCTCTCAAATGTAATAACCAAAACTGATCATACTAATTGGGCCATACCAATCTTAATAGACCGATTAGACATGTTACTCCACGTTATGTAGGCTGTCTTATTATGCACCTTACATAACATCTCTGTTTTCTTATGACTTCAAAGCACTTTTAACTCACATTAAAACCTGGCACACTATTACAGGAAAATCTTTTTCTACAGAAGAGTTAAAGACATCACAGTAGTTAGGCAACAGATCTCTCCTAAACTAAATGCCAGAGCTTGCTGTGATTCTTGTTCCATATATTCAACTTTATTTGTTTCCTCAAAGTACCTCACAGCTTGCAAAGTAACCCTGTCATAGAAGGCCACCAAATTTGTCAGGCACTATTTACCCTTGGCAAGGGCATGTTGGCTGTCACCTATCACCTCCAGGTTTTCCAAGTGCCTTAGCATAGCCAGGAAGATCTGTTCCATGATCTTGCCAGGCATGCAGATGAGACTGATTGGACTGTAGGTCCTCAGGCCTTCTTTTTTTTCCCCTTTTTAAAAAATGGGGGATCTCCTTTTCCTGTCAGTGGGAACAGACTGCCATGACTCTTCCTGGAGTCTGAGTTGTTGACCTGACATTAATCCTGCACAGCTGCTTTATACAGCAAAAGGAATTTGTTACAGACAGCTGCTTTAAAACTACAAGGAACCAATTAATAAGCAAGTGTATAATTTAACAAAAACCTTACTAAATGCTTGAAGTCTTTTGATATGGTCACACAATTTTTATTATTTTTTTATTATTATTATTCTGCAGAAAGTACTGAATTTTTTATCCAACTTCATTTCTCGTGAAACGGAACTATAACACTAGAGCATGAAGCCTAACAAGATATCAGAAAATGCAGGAGGAACCTAAATATAGCTCATAATGCTATACAGGCTATTGATAATTATGACAGCTGTGGAGGATAGGCGTATCGTATCCCCCATGTAATCCTATTTAGACATTATTGGCTATTATTTAATCTTGGAAAGTCAAATTGAAATTATTTTATTAGAAAGCATATGCAGCAAATATGCTAAATCAGGGAGTAGGACGTCCAGTTTAGGACTCTGGGGGAAGAATACAGCCACTGAAGTGTAGCTGCTAGATGAAGCAATATATCTTGTTCAGCACAGAGTAATTAAATAGGATGTATTGTTTATTCTGAAAGAAAATTTACATTGCATTTTACAAACAAGGTCCTGAAAATGAGTTGCAAAGCATAAAGCTGTGGATTTAGAAACTTCAAGCAGAAAAGGTTAGGCTTCAGATGTTTACGTAGGTCCCATATTGCAAAGCTCAATAGTATTGTAATTTACTCTTTAAAAACAGATTAACAGATTCAAAAGAGATCAACAGATCACTTAACTGAATCAAAATACAATAAGCCACATACCTGCATCTTCTTAAAGGACAGTATTTAAGGTAGTGCCTCAGAAACATTCCCACAAGAAGAAAGGAAACATAAAAGTCTTTTTGAGGGCTAGGAGAAAGCAAACTGCAAAGGTATGATGGCACATTTATGTGAAACTGAATGGGAAAAGTTTCTGAGGCACAACTGAACATTATCAATGGCACCTTTTAGTTTCC